TCACAGAGACCTCGCGCGCAACCTAAAACTACGTCAAGACCCGCTGCCCTACGTTATTTACCCGACTGGATTTACTGGAACTGTACTCGACGGTGGAGAAGTGTCTCACACTGTCACCCTGAAGCTACAACACAACAATCACAACGAATCTATACGACTCTACGTCACGAACACCGGCCGTCATAATTTAATACTTGGCCAACCCTGGATGAACAAGCACCGAGTAAACCTAGACTACGACAAGGAAAGACTAATCTTCACCGCTCAACGATGTAAAGAACGTTGTCTTAGAACTACTAGAACTCCTGTTCTCTCTCCTGAGGTACAGTGGAGCAACAACAGGCATGATGAAGCCTACCCTCAAAACCCAAAACTTAAGCATGTGCCACGACAACGGCACGACCACTGGCTACCTAAGATGAAGCGCCAGTTGAACGAACTTGTACCCGAACCTGTACCCGACCCTGATAGTGCCCAGCCAACAGACGAGCAGAACGACTCGTCGAAGTTGCAGCCAGAACTCGACATCTACTGTATAGGTGCTGCTCCGTTTATGAGCCTAGCACGCAAAAGAGGCTATGAAATCTGTGCTGTTAGCATTGCCGACATTGACAAGGCACTAACTGAGAAGAAGCACACCGATCCACTCACGAAAGTCCCTCAGGAGTATCATGACCTGATAGACGTCTTTTCACGAGAAGAGTCTGATAAGCTGCCTGTACGACGGCCTTACGACCACAAGATCAAACTAATACCCGGCAAACAGCACGGGTTCGGCCCACTGTATGGCATGTCTCAGAACGAACTCAAAGTGTTGCGCAAGTACCTCGAAGATCACCTGTCGAAGGGATTCATTCGCGCAAGCTCCTCCCCAGTCGCCTCCCCTGTTATCTTTGTTAAGAAACCCGGCGGCGGACTACGCTTCTGCGTCGATTACCGTGCCTTAAACGCCGCCACTGTTAAGAACCGTTACCCAATCCCGTTGATCCAAGAGACCTTGAGCCGACTGAGCAAGGCCAAGTATTACACGAAGCTCGATATTATTGCTGCCTTCAACCGATTGAGAATTGCTGAAGGAGACGAATGGCTAACAGCCTTCCGCACTCGATATGGGTTGTTCGAATACCTAGTGATGCCCTTTGGACTAGCTAATGCGCCGAGCACGTTCCAACACTTCGTGAACGATGTACTACGCCCGTTCCTAGACGTCTTCTGCACGGCCTACCTCGACGATATCCTGATTTACAGTGAGAATCTCCATGAACATAAGGAGCATGTACGATCTGTTCTAAACGCCCTTCGAGAAGCCGGACTCCAACTAGACGTAGACAAATGCGAGTTTCACCAGACTGAGGTGACTTACCTTGGCTACGTAGTTGGAGTAGACGGAATACAAATGGATCCGAAGAAGGTGCAAGCTATTGTAAATTGGGAGTACCCAAACAACGTTAAGGACATCAGAGCATTTCTAGGCTTCGCAAACTTCTACCGACGGTTTATAGACGGTTTCTCCTACCTAGCTGCTCCGCTAGTAGCGCTGACTAAGAAGGATACTAAGTTCCTCTTCAATGACGACTGCCAGAAGGCTTTTGATGCTTTGAAGCATGCCTTCACTACTGCACCAATATTACGACACTTCGACCCAGACCTGCCAATTGTTATTGAAGCCGACGCTTCCGACTATGTTACAGCAGGAGTGCTGTCCCAATCTGGACCTGACGGCGTCCTCCGTCCGGTCGCGTACTACTCGAAAAGAATGAACCCCGCTGAGAACAACTACGAGATCTACGACAAGGAGCTACTTGCTATTGTTCGCTGTTTCGAACAGTGGAGACCAGAATTAGAAGGCGCTGCCTTCCCTATCGACGTGCTCAGCGACCATAAGAACCTGCAGTACTTCGCCACTACGAAGCAACTGAGCCACCGTCAAGCCCGCTGGTCTGAATACCTATCACGATTCCAGTTTACGATTACATACCGACCCGGCAAGCACGGTGAGAAGCCTGACGCTCTTACCCGTCGCTCTCAGGACCAGCTTGCTCAGGAGGAAGCGAGACAAGCTCGGAAACAGACCCTACTGCGTCCTGACCTGTTTCGAGAACCCGTAGCAATTAGACTGGTAGAGACAGATAGATCTATCCAGCAGATCATCGACGATGAGTACCGTCCTACAGGCGATGGGCTACCTGAAGACCTGTTTATTCGAGAAACGCTGAAGCTGCTGCGCGACGGCGCACGACGGTCTAAGACAGTTACACTTGGTGACTGCGAAGACCGTGAGGGTCGCCTCTACTATCGCAACAAGTTAGTGATACCTGACAGCGACGAACTTAAGATCAAGATCCTGCGAACAGTCCACGATTCCCCATCAGGAGGCCACCCTGGCCGAGGGAAAACACTTGAACTAATCCAGCGGGAATACTACTGGCCCCGACTGTTTGAGACCGTTCGCCGTTATGTTTCTTGCTGCCACGTCTGCCGACGTTCGAAGGCTTCTCGTGAGAAGTACCACGGCCTGCTGAAGCCGCTACCCGTACCCGAACGACGTTGGGCAGACGTCTCTGTCGACTTCGTCGTTGACCTGCCAGAATCCGAAGGATGCAAGAACATCATGGTCGTAGTAGACCGCCTGTCTAAGTACCGATACATGATCCCCTGCGATAAGATGGAGGCTTCCGACGTAGCACGTATGTTCCTGCGCTACGTCTGGTGTAATCATGGCCTCCCTGATACGATAGTCTCGGACCGTGGCAGACAGTTCGTATCTGCTTTCCATGATGAGCTGTGTGCTCAACTAAGGATAGACCCGCGCTTCTCAACCGGCTACCATCCTGAGACAGATGGACAAACAGAGAACGCTAACGCTGCGATGGAACAAGTCCTACGCGCGTATACGAACTATCAACAAGACGATTGGGTTCAATGGCTCCCCACCGCTCAGTTCGAAGCCAATAATACCGTCTCTGAGTCTACTGGAGTAACCCCGATGATGGCCTGCTACGGTCAGAATCCCCGAATGGGCTTCGAGCCGCCTACCAACAAGACACGTCCCGCCTACCAAGCTCTCCAAGCTCGTGAGGTGAACGCGATGGTGGATAAGATGCGCGACATTACTGAGTTCATCCGTGAAGAAATGACATGGGCTCAAGCCCTACAGCAAGAGTACGCGAACCGCAAACGCCTACCTGCGCCAACATACGAAATTGGCGACGAGGTATGGTTAGACGCGCGTAACATCCGAACGCAACGGGCATCTAAGAAGCTTGATTGGAAGAATCTAGGCCCGTACCGAGTAGCTAAAAAGATCTCTTCCCACGCGTACCGTCTCGAACTGCCCGATTCCATGAAGATACACCCAGTATTTCATGTGTCCTTACTCCGGCCTGCTGCGCCAAAACAGGAGTACCTGCCAGGACAACTTGTCCTACCGCCCGAACCTGTTGTTGTAGACAACGAAGAAGAATACTTTGTAGAAAGTATCGAAGACCTCCGTTACAATAAGCGTCGTAGACGACATGAATACTACGTTAAATGGACAGGCTATGACGAGATGACCTGGGAACCCGCTGCAGACCTGAAGGATAACGCAGCCGTAGCTGGTTTCCATAAGAGGTTTTCTGACATCTTGGAGCCACCCGAAGTAATGCAAGAGTAAGAGACATGATCTCTACTCACAGGAGCTCAAGAGTAAGAGGGGGGTACTGTTACGGTAACCACCGTGGTTCCCCTAACACCTGAACGCACAGATTTCGGGTGGCTCGCCAGTCCACCCGAAATCTGTTAATTGGCCAGCTAAGGCCTGAGCGCCGCGCACGGCCCTAGCTATATCTTTCACCGCTTTGCATTCTGTTCTGTTCCTTACGCAACGTCTTGTATTACACTAGATATTATACGTAGCTACAATTAACGCTTCTTGTAAGCTCTTAAACACGTGCTCGTAGCGTCTTGTGACAATTACTATATAGAGTTACTAACTACGTTTTGTTACTCTACTCTGTATTAACACTCTACCGCAATAAAGACTTTATTATTATCTAATACTAATTATCTACCTAAAGCTATTACTCTAGGTTAAAAGGCTAAGAAGAAGGCTTAGATTATAGTAATTATAGCGCTGCGCAACACTATCTATACTTAATCTCTTTCTCTTTTTATAGTATAGACTCTCTTTCTCTAAGATCTAATTAATTGCTTTAAGTAGATAATACGTATTTTAGCGCTGCTATATAGACTTTAGAGTAGAATAGCTATATTAGCAAGACTAGGTTAGTAGAAATAGCTTTATTAGCGAGTAGCTGTTAAAGATAGTTGCGCGACTTAAGTTAGGTAGCTAAAGGTAGCGCGGCGCGGAGCAGTAACTATAGACTAGCCTCTAGCGAAAATTAATAAGATGCATTGAGTTATCCTTGAAGACTTTGTGTAGTCAACACAACTTCTCGATATGGCGTGTACAACAATGCTCGTTTCCTAATCACCTTAGTAAATGAGCCTGCTATTATGCTCTCTGCAGCCTCGAGTCTGCTGACCCTAGCTGCACAGAAGATGGCGATTACCTTCTATGTGAACCTTGGTAAGGCGACAACGACAAACCCCCCACAGTGAAGATCGTACTCGCGGCGGCGAATCAGGCGGCAGCCATCACCAATTCAGTCTGCATGCACTAAGAAAATCATGCTTTGAACCAGGTGTGCGGTCTTACTATTCTGGACCCGACCCATCCTCTCGAGACCTGGCCACTGAGATGGCACTCATTGCACTTTCCGTTGTATCCTCTCTACCTACCTCGCTGACACTGGACCAAGCTTTCCTTCACTACCATCCGCAGTTGAGCAGAGCAGTAAAGCACGATGACGCAGAATAATATCTGAATATGCATCCCCCATTCAGCAAGATACTTCATCACCCAAAATCATTTCCGAACTATCGTTCCCGTCTTAAACAAGAATATCAAACACGCTCTTGACGCATTCATACAAAGCATTCTACCAATCGCATGCCCATCATGGTGGCCTCCGGAAAGCAAATTCTCGTCCATACATACACGGCTCCCACCCAACTCCCCGGCCTATCCTCACAACCAGGCCAATACCCGCACCAACTCTTCGACGCACTCTCCCACCAGAGGGAATGTCCAGGCTGTGTGCACGAGCGCTTCTGGGGTAGGGACTACAGCACGTATCATTGGCCGGCTTGTCGGTGGTTAGAAGGAAGGGCCAGGTTGGGGAATGCGGATGGGAAGGAGGGGAGTGGTGGGTGGAGAAATTTGAATGGCGGTGGTGGAAATGGGAGTCGTACGTAAAATGCTGGTTTGGAGATAAAGGAGGGAGGAGCAGAAGGGCATGAGATGGGAAAGGAGCAGATGGGAGGGCGTGTGATGGGGCGAAGAGTTGGAGGAGAGCACAGAAGGGACAAGGGGTTTTTGGGGAGGGGATGGAGAGGGGAAGTGGTGGTTCCTCGATAGGGTTCGGTTTGGTTCGGCGTACTAGGTACCCCTGTATTTGTTTCTCAGGCATGTCAGCTCCAAGGGTTGGAGGGGACTGTATGAAAAGACGCAGCGTTTTGCAACGCGCAGGAAAGATCAAAGGTGTGAGGTAGAGATAGAATGAATATCAGTAATCTTACACGCATCAACACCACATGCCTACAACGCCAAAACCCAAGATACCCACTCCACCGATGCTCCTTAATGCATGCATCATACTCAACGCCAAAGTTCCGACCCAATGTACCCTTAGATAGACTCGCCTGTCTCAGCCCTCGGCCTAAACCCATCCGGCGTAAAAGTCCATCCCCTCCCTTCCGTAGGCGTCATAGCCCTCCGCCTCTCCACAGGACTCCAATCCATGACCCCAGGCGCTGGCAATCCCGCAATCGCCGCATCATCCCTCGCCCGCTGTCTATCCATACTCTGTCTCTCCAGACTCTGTCTTTCCACTCCACCTCCACCTCCACCAGCAGCCGCCGTCGCAGCACTCCCCTGCATAACCACACCCCCACCCAAACCCTCAGTATCAGTAACCAGCCTGACACCCGCCGTCCTCTGCCTCTCCCTCTCTTTGACTGCCCGCTTCCCCTCCGCCTTCTTCTTCTCAAACTCGATGATGAGGGTCTTGAAATACGCTTCTGCGGCGCTGGTCGCGGAGTAGTGGACAGGCGTCCAACTATAACTATTGCTCGCGAGCGGATTCGCGCCGTATTGAAGTAGCATCCTGAGTGCCTTTAGTTCCCCCGCCGCAGATGCATGGTGCAGCGCTGTGTTGCCTTGTAAATCGCTGGCGGAGAGTAGGTTGGGTCCGTGGAGGATAAGTGTGGGAATGAGATGCAGCGTCCCAGCGCCAGACTGACACGCCAGCATGAGGGCGTCGAGCCCAGATTTATTCTTCCAGTCCACAGCCTCAGGAAAACGTTTGGCGAGGTAAACGCCGCATTCCTCCTTGCCAGCAGAAGCCGCAAGCATCAAGGGTGTTTCCCAATCGTTGTTCCGTGATATCATGCCGTCTTCGTGGCCGGCGTCGACGAGGAACTCGGCAATGGTCGTGAAGCCATGTTTAGCCGCGAGGTGCAGCGACGTATTGGAGCGGTCGTCAAAGTCCGGGTTGCGCAGGTACTTGTGGTTGTTGCGAATGATGCGCTGGACGAGGGTGAGGTCGTTGAGGAGGATGGCGCGCCGGAGTCGCCGGGGTACGTCAATCCTGGGCGTGGGCATTAGGGACGCGTTCGGTTGGGGGTTACGTGGAGGGTCGCGTTACTCTGTGGGATACGACTTACATGGCTGCGGCAGTGAAACATGGTGGGATGATCAAACGGCGAAGGAGACGCACGCGGGCAGTCGCGTAGTGACGTTGGGAAGTTGAGCTGCTGTGGGGCGCGAGCGTTGGGCCTTGGATCAAGCTGCGGGGACCTTCACGGAATCTTGCTGCAACTGGCCTAGTACTCGCGTGGATGCGCTGCATGGATCCGTCCGTCAGATTAGCGACTCTTGAAGCATCTGCATTGTCACATGTCACTGCTGGGTTCAATGGTATGTGATGACGTCTCGGATGTGGTCTATTTCATGCATCATTAAGATGTTTGTCCCACATTGTCGGGAACTTCTATCAATGCCAGCCCACATGCGGCTATCTTACACGCTCACGGAATAATCGTCCAAGCTGTAATGCCTCTACAAGCCCTCAAAGTCTCCAGCCGCATCGTCCTCGTCAATGTCGCCATCTTGAATCTCCTTGGCCAACTCGCGTTCTCTCTCGCGCGCCTCCTGAGCGTTCTTGAGCTCCAGACGATGTTGGTTCATGGGGTACCGCATGGCCTTGACGCACTCGTCGTGTAGGGTCAAGCACGCCCGAATGCGCTCGTGGAATGCCTCACCAGGCTCGCGGGTTGCATAGATGTCGCCAGCGACCTTGGTCTGCATGAAACCCTTCTCGTGATCAATTGAAGCCTCTATGACTCCGTCGCGGATTGCCTTGGCGACAATGTACTCAGCCGACTCCTCGCTCTCGAGACCAAGGCGAATGCAGATGTCGCGGAGCGAGATGCGCGAGTACGAAAGTGACAACATGCGGATGCCGGTCTTGATAACATTTTGACGCAGACGGAGGATGAGGGTATAGGTGCCGTCACGGTGGAAAACGGACGAGGATGTCTGTACAACCTTGAGGAAACCCTGTAGGTCACCGACACGGACTGCCTGGACCAGGCGGAAGTAGGGCTCCATGGCACGCTCCAGACGGGGCTGGCTGAAGACGTCGCGCTCAGGAATATCACCCATCAGCAGCTCAACGACTACAAGGAGTTTCATTGAGGCCTGGTAAAAGCCAGTTGCGCAGTGAGCAGAGGGCGACTTGCGTGTGGCGCTGACCAGGTGCTCGTGTGCCTCAGTGTAGGACAGCTGGATAGCCCGTATGCGACCAAGGTAGTACAAGTACCTCGCGACCTGGTTGTTGGGGGCGTTTGGTGGGAATTGTGTCTGCGCAACGAGGAGATCGGCTTGTGTGATGTCGGCGGTCGAGAGGTAATTTCGGAGCAGCAGGGTGGTGACGGACGCCTGCGTGTCGGGGTCTTTCCTGAGCACTGCGCTTCGGAGAGCAGCGAGCAGCTTTCCGCGGATGTTGATGACGGGCGACTGCTTGGACGGGGGCTTGGGGTCCATCTCCTCGTGGAAGAGGGAGAAGTAGAAGTAGGCCTTGGCTGCTAACGAGTCCAGCGTCCGCCTGTTGAGTTCTCGGATCTTGTCTACCAGTGTCTCGGCGAACTCGGCGCCCTCTTCAAACTCCTTCTGATCGTAGAGATATACCTGCACTTGTTAGAGATGCCCCCATTGTTGCTGTCACCAAACGTACCTGTATCAGAATGGCTATGTATACGTCCACCTCAGGCAGGGGCTCCTTGGTGTTGTTCTTGTTGAGTTGCACCTCCTCCTTGTACTGGGAGACGACGCTCTGTATCGCCTCGCCGTCCATGCCAATGTACTCGATGAAGTTGCGCGCCGTGGCGTTGTTGGGCGAGTAGGTCAAGATGATGACGGAGCATAGTACGCGGTCGGTGAGCCTCTTGCGGAGCGATGATATGGAGCGGAGGGCGCGTAGAGTGAAGCGGGTATCGAACTGGGCGACGGCTCGCTCAAGGAGAACAAAGTTGCTGCGGATGTCTATAGTCGTCGGATCAGCACGCTGGTACAGATACTTGCACGCCGCAACCTCGGTGGCGATGATGTGGTTGGGGCACATCTTGCGGACAGGCCACGAGGTGGTGCAGTTGGTACAGGGGCACTTCGAAGTAAAAGGCATGCTGCGCGGCGGAGTGGCCTACTCACCAGCAATCGCCTTCTGCTCGACGTTCTCGGTTTTGGGCTGCTCGCCCTCGACGACGACGCCTTCCATGCTGTCCGCCATGATGGTCGCTCTTGACGTGTAGGTGGGGGACGGAAGGTGCGGTGATTATGGGGGTAGTGGTGGGTGGTGAGGGTGGTGTTGATGGTTTGCGGAGGTTGAGCTCCCAGCTTCACTGACGCCAGCGCGGCGGAACATCGGGGAATAGTTATCGAGCACCGACGCGCCCTTGTTGACCCCCGCGTCACCCCAGCATACTCTCTATACGCTCCGTTCCGGCATGGCACTTCTAGATGCACACCTAGAGCAGATCTCGCTCTGCGCAGCATCAATCGCAGAGTTGCCGTTGGTCTCCCGTCCTTCACCCTCCATAGCTTCCGACTGAACACCCCCAGGTTCGCTCCGCCCAAGATCTTCACCAACGCGTTGCTACAAAACCACGATATCACGAGCTTGATCCGAGACACTGAACTTCATGAACGCGCACTATTCTCCGTTCCTCCACCACCAGCAGCCCCGAAGCATGCCGAACCAGCCCCATCAACCAACAGGCGCAACACCATTTTCAACCCCAATGGAGGCGGCAGCACCAGCACAGGCGGCGGCGGTGCGAATGCCGTACGAGCACCCAGACGTAACACGGCTGTAGCAGCAGTTCTCGGCAATGAGTTAGTGGAGAGGATACGTCGAGGCGGTGGAGGAGGAGCGGGCTCAGGTCTCGGCTACAGAATGTACAACAGCAGCAACAAGAACGAGATTGACGTAGAGTCTCTATTAGAAGGAGCCGAAAAGCTTCTTGGAGTCTAGTACGTCTCAAGCAACGACCGACTGCCAGTTACCGACTGACGAAGAATAGCCCCATACCAGGTGTCCACGACAAAATCGCAGCCATGCGCCAACGACACGCCCAAGTCTCCGCCTCGCTAGACTACTACGAAAACCGACTTGCTGAGCAACAAGCCCAGCTCGGTAAGCTTAACCGTTCACGAGGAGACTACGCGGACGAGGATATGGATGAGCTCGAAGAGGAGCCTGAGCCAGTTGTCGTGTTGACAGAAGAAGACCTTCGGCGAGAGGAAGAGGAGACGCGTCAACTTGAGAAGAAGAAGAAAGAGCTTGAAGATCGTGTTACTTCCATGTCGCGAGATATATCTGGTCTTCGGTGATCTGGAACTGGTTAAGAGTGTGATTTGAACTTAGGCTAGGAGTTACAATGAGATACCCCATGTTTTCGCCTCAGCAATGTGGATTACACAATGATAGACTTCATTCTTATTCATGAGTAAAGGGACGTGGATGCAATCGTTGCCATTCGTTAATCATTACTAGGGACATTTGATGTACAAAAGAGGAAACTCGTCAGTCTCCATACTTTCAGTCACTAGAACAGCGCACCACCCAGCATAGCACCACCAAGGAAGCCAGCTGCAATGGGCAGACCAGCACCACCTCCATAACCGTATCCATACGGCCTACCGTACGGCCCAGCAGGACGCATGTACCTCACCCCAGGGTTTCCATACTGGCGGGCACCATACGGGTTATAACCATAAGCTCCCCTTGGAGCATACGGCCCATGAGGCGGCTCGATATAAACATCCCTACCTTGACGGTCCTTGCCCAGTAACTGCGGCTGCCCCGTCTCCATAGCACGTATAAGCGCCTGTCTTGTACGCAAATGTTGAAGATAAGCCTGTCGTTCCTGCTCCGCACGCTGAGAACGAGACTGTTCGCGCTGCTCATGCGTCTGACCAGTAATCTTGTCCTTCAGTTTCCTCGAAAACTTATGTATACCCGTTGGTTCTCCAGGGGCCGCAGCACCTTTACCCTTTGATGTAGGTCGTGGAGGGAGTTGGTCTTCGGCGTCAGAGTCCTCGGCTGTAAGGTCCTCTAGTGTCATGGTTCGGTGCATGCGTGTGTGCTTCTTACGCTCCTCGGGCGAGAGTGTGGAGAGGTACTGCTCGTCGTCGTAGGGGTGTGTCCATATGCTACGTGGAGGATCGGCTTTCGTGTCGACGAAGAATTGGTGGGAGGTTTCTGGGTCGAAACTACGGACCCAGCCCGGAGGGAGCGCGCGCATCTCGTCTTCCATGGAGCGGCGGCGCTCGGGCGGGATGCCATTGCGTTCGGTGCGTGCTGCAGGGCCGTCCGTGGAGACGCGGTGGATGCCTTGCGAGGGTTCGGCGTCGAAGATGGCGGCTTCGTAGCTGGGTGGTGGCTCGTTGGGATGTGAGGACGCCATTGTGGAGGGTGTAGATAGTGTAGAGGGTGGAGGGACGTTCTCTGTGGCTTATTGTAGACAACGTCTTCAATTTGAGGTAGTGTAGCTTATAGATGAGTAGATTGCAGGATGTTGCAGTGTATATAGACGTAGTAGCATCGTTTGATAGAGGGAGTGGCGTCGATGCTCATGACGTCAATGTGGCCGTGCACCCAACGGGGCTAAGGGAGCAGCATCTCCGATGCTCTTGTTGCATGTGATCTTCGCCACCTTTTTGCGTACCACCAATTTGTACCATTTATTATCATGGCTTTGCCACACATTATGCAAAGGCCTGGAAAAACATGCGCAACATTCACGGAAGCCCTTTGAGATATCCGTGAGTGCACACCAGCCTCGTCTCTCCACCATGTGCGCTTGTCACACTGCAGAATTCCCCACAGGGACGGATGGCGCGTGTCCCACCTTGGTCTCGAGACCGACAACCGAGACCCCGGCGCTGGCTTCGGTAGTCTGAGATCTCGTGGTCGACGCTTCTTGCGCCCGGTAATTTCCCAGCTATGTCTGCAGCATCTGCATTTGTTGGATATTTCGAGCCGGACCGAGAATTGCATCACGAGCGTGCTGCGACGATGCCAAACATCTTGGACGAATCGATTCCAGCTATAGAAAACATAGTAGCACTGCCACTTTACTTGACAAGAGGTCAAATCTCTATATCATCTCCTTCACACATCTCCATCAACATACCTTGCTCCGATGATCATGCGGCTGAAGTACCACACCGAGTTGGGAGATACTGTGTCAAACACGCAGGTCAGGTGCCGCTTTCCCATCCCTCTTCTCCTCTACCAAGAGTATATGGTCTTACGTCTACCGTCGGAGCAGTCAGCATCGCGCGCACCTTGCTATCATTCGGAACACCTACAAACGCTTTAGGAGATCTGCGCTGGGCTTTGGCTCTTCCTTACCAACCCCCGAATAGGTCTGGAAACCTTAGGGGCACATTATTCGGTCATGCGAAGAATCCACGATACCACATGTATGGAAGCCATACTGTATGCATCTACTGACAGTCGTGTAGCTTCTCGATGTGTGTACTCTTACTGCTATTGCGCCGTACACCGTGCTTTATTGTCATCCATTATCATAACTCCACAGATTCGTTGTCTGAGGCAAGTACTTATATCAAAATGTGTTAAGGGTTACTAGCCAAAGCATTATGGGACGACCCGGGCGCCACGGTCGATTCGTACGCTCAAGTACCCGATAAGCTGGTCGCGAGACCTTTGGCGGGGTGAGGCTTCAGGTACCCGAGAGCCCTATGTGCTACCGGGCGAGTGCATGTACTTTCCGAGGAACTTACTTGGGTAATCTTCCCGCGTTTGGAGTGTCCACCCTTCACTTCTTAGGTCGATGTCTTAGATGAACAAACCGACCTTCCTATACTGAATATGGACGACCACTATCCGGTAATTAGCGCTACGGGTCCTGTGCCTCATGGTTTGCTTTCCCAGGTTATATAACTCGCCTCGCCCTGCAGCAAAGCGATCTTTACCGGGTCACTGTCCATCACTCGATACATTCCTTCATCAAACCCACATACTAAGGACATACGCATACTTTCCTTGTCTAGATTAGTACCTCTACCTTGTCATCCACCCATACGCCTTCGGTCGTCAGCATGGCGAAGCTGACACCTTTCTTTTTGGCGTTATTCCAATTCTCCTCCGTGCACAGTTTGCCTGCGGGAGGAAAAGTAGCAAGAGAGCCACTCAATATCGCAGCTCGCGAGATTACTCTGACAGACGTTTCGGTCACTACAAGTTACAGCACAGCTATCACGTCCTTGCAGTCGGCCTCTGCCACTGGGGAACCAGCCAATTCGGGTGTAGGTCACAACGTCTCGCAGACCTCTGCATGGTGTTCAAACATGAAACTGACGATGATTAGAGCTTTTTGACAGGCCTCCCTTCTGGTGGTTTCACACGAGATCCAGTCGATGGTCCAGGCGCTACAACAGCCACCAAGCCACTGTGCCCTGAGGAAACACCACTTGAGCCCGGTCCCACAGCACCCTTCAATCCAGCATCTTCAAACATTTTCCAGTCCATTGCGAGCGCAGTACTTCCGTCTGCTATCCCTCTCAGAGCAGATCATCCTGTGCAAAAGCAACATATCGACGATGGAGACATACCGAGTCAGACAAACAAGTTCTACGCAAACTTCTTCCTTGGTAGCCAATCTTTCTCAACCTGGACCCATCCTTACTCTTTGACGTGGGATAATCGCAATGGTGGCTCTTACGGTACGTAGATACGTGTGTTGACGTTACTCATATGCTAACTTTTACTTCTTTCCATCGCAGGCATTGCCGTCAGTCACACCACCCGGGAAAGGTTTGCTTTCGTGCCAGATGCCAACGACACACGGTTCTTCATCTCGCCTCTTGGCATCTACCATCTCATACTGGGCGCCGAGGAGCTAAAGTCCGATACATCTTTGTCCCTTTCACGCTTGGGAGCTTTCTCCACATATGTGAATCTGCGACCAAACAGTCTCCAGGGTACTCGCATCTTGATGTCTCTTCCGGTAGTTCAGGGCATGGGAATGATGACCGCCGTCTACGACAAGGCGAAGCCGACAATCAAGACCACCGTCTTTTTCCGATCACTAGACTACGTTGAGCTGGTCAATGGTATTACGCACAAGTATCGGATTGTGCTCAATGACGGCTCAAACTGGCTTCTCTACGTCACATCGGACGGGTCTGTTGGTACACCTCCCTTCGTTATGAACAATAGCACAACGATCACTGGCCCCGCAGATTTTGTCGGCAAGATTCAAGTCACCAAAAACCCATCAGGTATGGCGGTGGAGAGTATGTTCGATTATAGCGCCGGTGTATACGCAACCAACGCAACTATTACTGGATCGGTCAACGGGGCTTTCGGAAGCTACACGATGAGTTGGTCGAAAGGCGGCGCAACAGACCGACCGTTGCTGATGTACGCGCTACCACATCATGTTGAGTCATTCGACCAGCAGACTGCGGCCGCTCTAAAAGAGATCACACTAGTCACCACGACGAAAGGCTTTGCACGAGCTATAGTCGCTGATCGGATGACCATGGTGGAGAACGACCTGCCAGACAGTATTGGTTTTGCCCCATGGGCTAAGAATCCTAGCGCAGCTGGAGGCTCAGAGAACATCAACCTGAACGCGCAGGCGATCGCGCTTATCAACCAGGCTGGCATAGCTGAGCTCAGTCAGAACATGATCCCGCAGACCTCGCTGAATAGCATGTACTATTCCGGCAAAGGGTTGGCCAAATTCGCTACCATTTGCTACACAATGAACAGTATGACAGGCAATAGTCAATACGCAGCGAGTGGATTAACCCGACTTAAAGATGCTTTTAACGTCTTCGTCAACAATACGCAACCTGAGCCACTCGTCTACGACCAGGTCTGGAAGGGTGTCGTCTCTCGCGCCAGCTACTCTGGAGACCTTGGTTTGGACTTTGGAAACACGCTATATAACGATCACCATTTCCATTACGGATACTTCGTATACACAGCTGCCGTCATCGGCCACCTTGATCCTACATGGCTCGGCGAAGGCAGCAACAAAGCCTGGGTCAACAACCTCGTCCGCGACTTTGCAAACCCCGTAAGCGACTCGGAATTCCCCTTCCAGCGCTCCTTCGACTGGTTCCACGGCCACTCCTGGGCCAAAGGTCTCTACGAATCCGGCGACGGCAAAGACCAAGAATCCACCTCGGAAGACACTTTTGCCACGCACGCGCTTAAGATGTGGGGCAGAATCATCCAAGACGCAAACATGGAGGCACGCGGTAACCTGCAACTTGCCGTTCAAGCCCGCAGTATTAAGAACTACTTCCTCATGGAAGCTGACAACAAGAACCAACCCGCCGGCTTCATCAAGAACAAAGCAACGGGCATCCTCTTCGAGAACAAAATCGACCACACCACGTACTTTGGCGGAAACATTGAATACATCGAGGGCATCCACATGATCCCGCTCAACCCCTCATCCGCGTACACCCGCCGCAGACAATTTGCGCAGGAAGAATGGGACACTTACTTCAGCAACGGACGCGCCGAGCAAGTCCAAGGCGGATGGAAGAGCATCTTGAAAGCCAACCAAGCACTCTTCGACCCACAAGCTTCGTACGATTTCTTCGCCAACCCCAATTTCAATGAGCAGCTTGACGGCGGCGCGAGTCGCACATGGTACCTGGCTTATTCCGCCGCACTCCTGGGTGCGGATGAAGCTGGAGCGCAGCGTGATTTCCAGATGGATTACGTGGGGCCCGAGCAGTCGGAGCAGAAGGTCGAGGCGCGTGGAGGACGTGAGGTGTCTATTGATCTGGATGAGATGTGGTAGAGGACGAGCTCTAGTGCTTGGAGTTCTGGGTTTAGTTGGCCTCGGCCTTCAAGTACTGGGTCGGCTTCTACCTCGTCCAAGACTACTACTTCGTCCAAAGCTTGGTCTTCAGGTTTCAACTGGCCTGCTCCAACAGTCGTTAAACCTACTCCGACTTCGACTTCGACTTTGACGACTAAAGAGCCGGAGATGACTATAGTTGCCAGTGCTAGGAAGAGCAGCGGAAAAAAGGATCAGGAGAGCCTGTGGGAGTTGGGTCTCTAGGGAGGAGGCTGAGCTGGCGGTGGATGGGGAAAGTGGAGATGTGTCTGTTCTGCTTGTGGCTATCGCTGTATATACTTATTCGTGTAGATATTATGTTCAGAAATGATCACAACCATTATGTCTTATACACGAGCAGCTCCTTCTATTCATAAACCATGGTGCAGTCCATCGGAACTTGTGGAAGATTGGGAAATGCTTTCACCGCCTCGCTCCACCGCCTCTCGGTAAGTGATCTAGAAGCATAAGCCTGGGAACGAATAGAAAGAACGGCACAACGCCCCCGGTCTTCAAATTAATCTAGAAACCTAGAAGCATACCGTTGACGGCCCGCTTCAGTGGAGTCTCTCGCGTGTGGCGTCGTGGAAGTGGCGCATGTATGTGGGTCGGGATACGGCACCCGGAACGTCTCTATGAACCGTAGACCGGCTTACTGTTAGTAAAGATCTATTGAAGTAATCATCCTTTCCATCGGGCCGGCTACAACAGCATGTCCTATTTAAAGCAGCAAGTCTGGATCTGATCACTAATCCGATAAGCAGATATGTTTCGCGCTTTGCCATCTGTGTGTGTGAGGGGAATAACGCTTTCTGCAGGTCCCTGCCGCACCCGTGTGTTCCGTGAGTGCTTAGCAGCGGTGAAAACGTTGCTTGCTTTGTCGAAATTCTCCGCTGATGCCAGTCCTCGACGAATGCCAGTAAGCTAACGATGCTTCCTAGCGATACTCAGACTGTTCGATGTTGATTCAAGCGCTTTGAGGAAGCTCTCTGCGACGTCTCGTATACCATTCGATCAGACCGCTATCTTGTTCACGTCAAGTATGAACACGCACTCTCACCGTCTCTTGACAATGGTACCCATGTATCCATCCCCGCATATCTTCGTATTGACAGCCCGTTAGTCAATACAACGCACATACCTCCGAGCTCGACGTTGAGGTTACGAAGTAACGTGGATACTTCTGACGTCGGAATACGAGGTGTTTTGATACATAACCACAACATCCTCACGACATCACCATCTACCCATCCCTCCTAACACCAACACTACAAACAATCAACCAACCAACCAACCCCAACCATCACCATGCACTTCGCCTTCCCCGCCATTACCCTGGCCCTTGCCGCCGCCGTCAGCGCCAGCAACCCCATCGAAGCCGCCTGGAACGTCACCCGCTCTTACAAAGACGTCAGCCAACAAGTTGTGTCTTTCGAAATCACCGCCGTCTACGTCGACGAAGAATACCCCGATGGTCTTGAGTCAAAGTGCACTTGGGTTGAGAAGGGGCAGGTCTACGGTGTTCAGTGCACCCCGGACACTTTCTCGGTTGAGCCCCAGCGCGATGGTCTGAGTAAGCTTTTGTCAAATGGATATGCGTGAAAGGATCTGAGGCTAATGTGCGATTGATTTGTAGCTATGAAGCTCCAGCAGACTATTGAGAAGCCGAACCAGCAGGTCGTATATGGAGAGGGCGAGGTTCCTCGTAGTGGGCATGCTGTTATTCCTGTTAACGCTCGTGTCGCTTAGATTGGCGATGGCTATTTCGACTATGTATTGAAAGGCGGAGAAGATGGATGACTTCAGAAGTCATGTTGAGTAGAAGCGTGTTGTCAAAATCTAGAGTAGGACCTTCTCACAAGTCTAAAGTGAACGATGTTGACTGTCTCCTGAACCAACTAGGCATGGTTTGGCGATGCTCAATGACGTGCAATACTTTGCAAGTGGGCCGAGGAGGTAGTTATAGCTTAAGACGTGGGCGGCGTCTTAGTAGTGCCGATTGAGGCAACTTTGCAGAAAGATCGACAGAAATCGATCATCCCGAGGTCAAGGACGCACACGTGCCAGAGCCTAGGGGTCGATCTTGTCACCCCAATTCACGAGCAGTCTTAGTAGCCAATGCCATTTGATGCTCAATGTTGACTAAATGAATAAATCTCGTGTTGATAAATAATAGAGTGGGCATGATCAGGGCCTCACAGTCTACAGACTGCGCGTGCAACAATGATAGACGGCATCATGAAGAGCTATTAGACACACACTCGCTGCAAGTCTGTCCAGTGTTACCATGAACAGATCTTCCTCATAGTTATGTCTTTCTCCATGCGATGAACGGGGGATCGACTTTTAGTCGTATGGCGCTTGGTAGAATAAAGCACGCGCTAGGGACGGCCCTGATTCGCACATGGGTCCAGGGGAAAACCAGCACGACTCGCTGACCACAGCGCCGAGGAGTGACCGTACAACAACTCGCTTTGCCTAGTTCACAGTAAGAATTAAGTTTTGTGCACGGCCTTACAACTAGAGAACGCCGGTGGCGCATGTCAAATGTAGGTAAAATGTTAATAACTGGCCCCCCCAAAGATCATTGTGTCCGCGGAGGGGTTATTTCATTCCACTACCATGTTGCCGCTTTCGCGACTTCTTACACGGCAAGCGGCCTTGTTCTCGCTTGTCGCATTAACAATTGCACAATCGCCATCTTCTATCACCGATCCTACCTCCAATTCTACAACTAATTCCACAGGGGCTAGAGGCATCGGCGACTCGCTCCTCGACCCCTTTCTCGAAACCATTGGATCAACTCTCCAGGGGGATGGATTGATTGATACTGCACTTGGTACTATCGGCGGAATACTAGGCGGCGAGCAAACTTTCGACTATGTCGTCGTAGGAGGAGGAACTGCAGGTGCTGGCGTTGGCGTAAGACTAGCCGAGGCAGGGTTCAGCGTTGCTATAATTGAAGCTGGCGGCTTCTACGAGATCGAGAAGCCGGTCTTAGGCACCACGCCAGCAGGATCCTTCTTTGGAGTTGGAGCGAGCCTTGCCGACATGGTGCCAACGACAGACTGGGGTTTCGCCACGGAGCCACAGCCGCACCTGAACAATCGCCAAATTCACTATGCTCGCGGCAAATGCTTGGGTGGGAGCAGCGCCTTAAACTTCATGGTTTACCACCGCGGGACCACGGCAAGCTATCAGATGTGGGCAGATGCTGTTGGTGACCAGAGCTATACTATGGGAAACCTTACCCCATTCTTCAACCAAGCAGTCACCTTCACAGCCCCTGGAAAGCGGTCGCTTGACAACATCACGACCACTTACGATGCATCCAGCTTTTCAAATAGCGGTGGACCTGTGCAGGTTGGCTACGGAAACTGGGTTTCGATCTGGGCATCATACCTTGAGAAGGCTTTCAAGACCTTCGGTCTCCAGGAGAACACTGACTTCAACAACGGGAAGTTGCTCGGGTACCAATGGTCGCAGAGTACCATTCGGTCCCGCGACCAGACGCGAAGCTCGTCAGTTGCTTATATCCACGCCGTACAAGCCAACTCCCAGGCCTCACGCAATCTCAAGGTGTTTACCCATACACAAGCGCGTCGCATATTATTCGACAAATCCTCTGCCAGGCCTAAAGCGAGTGGAGTCGAGGTGTCAGCCCTTGTTGGGCTGGCAAAGTATACCATAAAGGCTCGTCGCGAGGTGATAGTGAGTGCTGGAACGCTTCAGTCTCCTCAACTCCTCATGCTCTCAGGCGTTGGTCCGACTGACCAGCTTCTGGAGCATGGTATCGACCAGATCGTTTCAGCCCCAGGTGTTGGTCAGAACATGTGGGATCACGTTCTATTTGGTCCTTCATACTCCGTCAAGTTCAAGACTGTAGGTTCCATACTTCTCAGACCCCTGGAATTGGTCAATGCGCTTGTTGAGTACACAACAAAAGCCAAGGGTATACTTACCTATGCTGCCGACATATTGGGCTGGGAAAAACTGTCTAAGCTGGAAGGATATCGCGACACACTCAGCCAAAGAACACTCGATGCCCTGGAAACTTTTCCTGACGACTGGCCCGAGGTTGAATACATCGCTGCCGACGCGTACGCAGGGAGTTTTCGTTTTCCCTTGGCGCAACAGCCCCTGAACGGCAAGAAGTATGTCAGTATCCTTGGTGCCATGGTGGCACCGCTGTCGCGAGGCAACATCACACTCAAATCGGCAAATCCACTCGCTGCGCCGGCGATTAACCCGAACTGGCTGTCTGATCCAGCCGATCAAGAGCTCGCCATCGCCTGGTACCGTAGGATGCGCGAAATCTTTGCGACAAAAGACGCCGCATCACAACTGGAGGAGATTGGTAGTGAAGCGTACCCAGGCCTCGACAAGGACAGTGACGAACAGATTCTTGCAGTCATCCGAGACAGCGCGATCACAGTATGGCACGCCTCTTCAACCTGCCGAATGGGCAAGAGCGTACTCAAAGATGGTGTTCGTGAGCGAGTCGATGAGATGGACGTCGTCGACTCGGAGGCCAAGGTTTTTGGAGTAGATGGGCTTCGTGTTGTGGACGCCAGTATTTTCCCTTTCCTGCCACCTGGTCATCCTCAGAGCACCATTTATGCACTAGCAGAGAAGATATCGCAGATCATCATTCGGGATGGTCGCAGTAGTACGTAGCGCTCACAACAACGGAGCGAGAAATCGAAGTTGATGACTGTGGGACCACCAAATGGTATTGAAGAGACGATTTGATGCGACTTCTCGCAGGTTGGAAGTGATTGATGTAATTTTGTTTGCTAGACTAATTAGGCATAGTCCGGCGATACCCCATAACGCGCAAAAGTGGGCCGATGTTGAGCGCCTTACTGAACCTAACCCGATGTCCCCGCATGAACAACTTTGAAAGCACCTTCATAATCCTATGCATATAGCCGTCCAGATATTGGCAACTCAACTGGCAGGCTCGAGAAGCTGCAATGGCCAACTGTCTCCTGGCGATAGCTGATCCACCCCGAATGTGTACAAGCACCCCACTGCACAGGCCGCAGACTCGCATCTTGGTCCATCATAGGAGCATGGCATGCAGCACTGATAGCTACCGAGCAGCTTCCAGCCAAAGGCATACCAGCCGGGTATTTGAAACGCGAGAGCACTGCCCCGAAACCTGCGATGATCGTTGCGATGACAAGCGTCAAGATTATGGCCATTGGAGAGTATCCGATTGTCGAGATCTGGTTCACGGGTTGACGCGTCTGATCTGTGATTGAGATACGAACCATGAAGACACTCTGGGAAGCAAGCCAATGGAAAAGGCCAGAGATTATCGTCATGGGAATCGCATATCGAAACGGCACGTTAAGCCAATAAGTATCTCGCTGTCCTCCGTGCGGAGAGGTGACGCGGAGGGGTTTGCGCTCGTTTAGATACGAGGCCCATTCGTGTGCCACGAGCATGTTCGTATAGAGTGCGTTGAAAGCTAGGTAGAGGTAGGATAATAGTACTTGTGGTGTGTTTGCAAGGATGATGCTGCCTACGAGCGGAAGGTTGGAGCTGAACAGGTTGGCGCCGTTTACGGTGCCGAAACCGATCTGCCATAGTTCGCGTGGGTCCGATGGCATACCCTGGAGAGAATAATAAAGACTTGGAATGCCGAAAACGAAGGCGACAAAATAGCTATTCCGAGGATGGTAAGCTCGGATCATGGCTTGCAATTTGCTGACTTACGTTGAGTATGTCCAGATCCATCTACCCTCGCTGGGAGCCTTTCTCCATCTCTCTTCTTTTGCATCGTATCTTTGAGGGACAGGTTTCCGCGCTTGTTTCCGGACGTTACCCTCTTTTTCCCAAAGAGAATCGACGAGCCGTCTGGAATATAGACAGCGATCGCGCGTTGTCGGGTCTGGCTCATCGAGGTATGTCGCCACCACATCGCCCACCGTGACGAGAGGAGCATGAGCCCCACAGACGAAGAGCGTCGCAGCTATACAAATCACCTTGACCATATTTGAAAGAATGACAGCCAGTGCTATGGAGAAGCTGAACTCTAATCTGCAGAACTCTTCAACTTGCTCGACTACGCAATGGTTGATCCGGTTGCCATATGGTCTCCAATCTGACCGATTCTGCGGCACTTCAAACCGACTCCGGACATCGCACCCCTTAACTATATGGGACGGACAGCGCCACGTGTTGGATGGATAGATCTCTGGTGAGGCTAGTTCAGGTAGTCTCTGAGTTGTATCCGTAAGCTCGAGTTTGTTCCGCGATGTCCGATCTATAAGATCTGACGGGGAATAAACGTCATCCCAAACATAATAGGAGGTGTTGGGGTTACGCCAGAGTTGCCACGTCGTGTTGTTCTGCCACACTGTTGGGTAGTCTTGCACCAGATAAACGTTACCCACTCCGGAGACGTAATGGTTGTCGTACTGGGTAAAGCAATCCGACGTGCTGATGTTCTTGTATCTCGGCATCGTGCCGCCTTCTCTTAAATCGACGACATTAGAAAGATTGGGCCGATATCTGTCCATTTCAAGCACCATTTCCTCTATAATATCTTTTGTGAGGTTCTTGAAGTTAGATGTGTCATATGGCGCCCCATGAAACCAATCATCCGTGATAGGAAGGACCGCATAGTTGTTTGCCTGAAGTTTGGCGAAGACCACGGAATTGAAAAACAGGTGGAGTGGCATAGATGTGAAGATCAGTAGGAGCCAAAGAACCAATCTACTGCGTGCAATGTGTCTCATGTTGCGCAGATTTGGCACCCCGATGTGTAGCCACGTTCGTTGTGCATGAGCCTGGTCAAGCTCCACCCTGTTGGGGGCGCTGAGCACCTGCATGCAATAGTTGCTTGCGCATAACAGTAGTGTGCTGAGAACGTTAACGAGCAAATGAATTCTGACGTTCAGTCTTCTTATTCGTCCACAGTTACCAATGCTCAATGTTCCGATGGCTCCTTCAATGGTGTTTTCAGGGTTCTTCCATACCCATATCGCAATGACAAGGTTGAAGATGGTGACTGTTATCGCTACTACGAGCGACAAGACTGCTCCGGGTCGCCATCCTGTCAGAAAGGGTCGCCTGGCTGGCCGCCGAGGCTGAAACACCGCGGATCGGGTTAAAAGCAAGAAGTCGTCGTCGTGCGATTCATTTTCATTGCTCGTGGCGAAACTCTCCGATTTAGTTGAACTAGTATATGGTTCATGGATAGCATCAATGCTGTGGTCGCTGCTTTGTTCGTCCGTGGGCTTCCTAGGCTCATTAGCAACACTTCCAAGGTTACAATGACGTCAGTCACGCGCCTAACTCGTACCTTTCGAATAGCTGGATTCCCACAGGGTCGACACGCACGCTCGATCGCTCTTCCCTGCATTGAGACTCATACATTGCATGCGAATTGTGGATTCTATGTCGCATCAGAATGGCATAGCAAACCATCTGGACGCCCGTGGGGTCTTGTTACCTATGATATTATCTCGGACCTGGAACTCCGCCACACTTTCCACTTCCCGCTCGAACTTCGCCCCGGCCGCGCCAGACATTCGACAGGTAGGGCAATATGTCTCGACGATTCGCTGCCTGTCGGGTCGTGGGGGCCGAGCGGGAGCGAGCGGGCCGCACCTTGGTTCATGCCCAGGTGTGGTCAGCCTAGGTACCTAGGTAGAGTGCCTATTCTGCAATGCCGCTGTTCTGCTCAGCCCCATCTTCTGAATATATCCCAGTGCTTACGGTACTACTATCTTCACCGGTCGCCGCAGTTTTGTGGACATGAAGGGGGGATTAACGTTAACTCCGTGTCGCCAGTACCAGCGCACTCACCAACGTAACAACTTCATCTGTAGAGATTTACCTTTCTCTTCTGTCGCAGGCAAAGTGGAATGTCTCCTTCTGTTGCATGTGTATGCTTCACCACTGGCCATAGATGATATGCGTTCTGATCTACCTAGGTAGCTTCCGAACTGTCAATGGACGTGTGTGACGTCAGTGGGCGCAATACGATATGTGTCAGCCTTGGAAGTTATGTAAGGGCAACAAGGCGATTTTCCATACAACAGCACATGCCAGAGACACAGTCTGTTCTATTCGCTGTACCGAATTTCTATCCTAAATCCAACATCATCGCACAATATTATGTCAGACAATTGGTTTACCTCCAAACTCGACCCAGAAATGGAGAACCATCCTGAGGAAGTACTGGCTCTCAAGGACTACCTACGCCGAAAGACCACCGCAACAGAAGCAGCTCAAACAATCACTCGCCCGGTAATAACCTCAAATTCTCCCAAAGACGATTTAGCCTGCCTACAAGGCCTCCTACATGATGCTCTCCTAGAGCTACCCGCGTACACCGAGCAGCTACTATCCCTCCTACAGGTTATCGAGAACCTCCCAGAACCCAATTTCACAGCCGTTGAGCCAAGCCAGCGGCCAGGGGAAAAGCTCTGGAAGGGGCTCCCTCATTTCGCCAATCTATGGTACGAAATCGGTTATCGATCCGGAAGCTGGAAAATGGATGCCGAGAAAACGAGTGGCACAGAGCGCGATGCATTACGGAATGAGCATGTGAGAAGGGCAGAAGTCGAGGCGCGGTTGATTATGGCGAACCTTGCGAGTATTCCTATTGGCTGGGGATACGAAGTCATCGAAGACGCTTTGGGAAAAGACGCACTGCTGGATTTCGAGGTTCCGGCTGCGGCGGAGTGGCTCTGGGTTTGTGGGAAACGGTTTCGACGGGGTGCGGTAGAAGGCGAGAAAAGCTATGTAATGAAGGATGAAGGGATGAGTTTGGAACGGTGGTCGGCGTGGGAAGCGCATTTGAAAGAGCTGCAGACGCAGTCGGACGTTGTTCAGCAAGCGGCGACGAAGGCACTTACTGCCATACATGAAGTAAATCGAGAGATACAGTGAGAAGCGATTATGCAAAAATGGTGCTCGAATAAAGCTACACATTGTGCGCTTGTTCTTTTGTTGCGAGCGTAGTACAAAAGAAATTGCAGCGTGAGAGTAACAAGGCCGTGTTGCCTCCTGCAAGCGCAACTGGGAGAGTGTCTTGATAGCCATTAGCGCAACACAAATTCCACTTCCTCATGCCCTTCCGACATGCACTCTGCATCCATTTTGCCATCAATGTAGGCTTCACCGAGAAATCTGAACTCCTGTGGTCGATTATAGCTACCTGACCGACGAAGGATGACAGGCACGCTGCACCCATACAAGATCGCTATCACATCATGCTCCTTGGTGTCTAACGGCCCGAGCCCGACGAGATCCTCGGAAGTTCTCAGCGAAGTTGGTGAAATTGGCGATGCTGGGATTGAGTTCGACATTGGTGAGCCGGCTGCAATAGTCGATCTTCCTGGAAGGATTACCCTGTTGGAGGTAACCGCTCGGACACGCTCCAGGTAGTCTTTGACAATGCTCTGCGGTGATACAGACTCGTCTGCGCGCAACAAGCCGGTGGTGTCGATATCGCCGTTAGGAGTGTCGTTAAGTAGGCAGTAGTTGCAAGCTAGAGAGTAATACGTCGGTACGTCTGAGCCGTTGGGTCCACGACCGGCGACCAAAGTACGGCGGAGTTGGTCGGGCGCTGGCTTATTTGCTGATGCATCTCGGCAAGTCCACCCCAGCCTTTTCAGACCTTGCTGAGGAATAAGGACGGATCGTATCGGAGGTGAGCTCCAACTCACTTTCCCGATAAGATAACCAGATACTGTCAACGACTTGTCGTGTGGAAAGATAGAGAGCCGTGGACCTGACTTGGGACTTGGTGACCACTCTCGGGCATCGCCGTCCCCAAATTGAACGATCGGAATACTGCACCCAGAAGCGTTATACACCGCTTCTCCAGGAAGGCCTACAAGGCTGTCACCAGCTTTGCGGCCCCTGAATACTGCCTCGCCCGCTCCATAAGACCCGTCTTCTGTAGTAAAAATCCAAGATGGGAGTGTCACAAGCCGTGGTGCAGCTGTGGTGCCGATGTCTAGCTTCTGCTTTTCTTTCAAAGCCCAATGACGGCAGATGATGTCCAGAGATTTGGACTCTCCTACCACCTATCCAACAAAGTCGCGATAGACTTCGAAGAGGTCTTGCTTATGATTGGGTTCTGGCGGCTGCCTGTGTGTACGTGCAGGTGAGCTCGAGCTCCTCGTTTTTACTACATTAAGCTCCTTGGAAAGGTTGCGCAAGCAGTTGATAGTGTCGCGCGGATCAGATGTACTGAAGGTGAATAGCTGACACACCAGCTTTTCCAAGCCCATGTTTGATTCAGATGTGCCGTTTGATTTGGTTCGGAATAGATTACTCGTCATTTCCGCAAGTAATTTGGCTCCAAGAGGTTCTACATCAGATATCGGACTGCCGCTGAGTCTAGGGTTTTGTATCCTTGGCTGCAGTGACTTGAAGTAGCGATGGAAGATTCCGATGGCGTCCTTGAAATCGTTCCAGTGAACTTCAGATTGACCGCAGTGAACGCTAGCTTGCTGAGCCAGTGCTAGTTCCTGGATGACCCAACGTCGCGAGAACCAGCTCCACTTGAGCAATTGGAAAAGACCCGCCCATTGCGGGATGTAACGATCGTCTGTGAGGAGATTGTTCAGCTTGTTCAGGTCGACCACATCCTTGATGAAAGTCATCGCTTTACTCGACTAGAAGTCCGGATTATCCAGACCCAGCCAGATACAGACGCTGTATGCCTTTTGGTATATCTAATTCATCTTCATGACCTGAATCGTCTTCTCAGCATCGTTTTCCTGGTTGGTGCAGAGTGCATCTACCCACAACGCCACATGCCTATCCTGTGCTCTCAGCCGTTTCAGAGCGCTATACAAATTTAGTCGCACATAATGACGCTTTGCAAAGAGTTTCTTCTGAGCAGTAAGAGCCGCGGCCGTAAAATCCTTTATGGGTACCGTGGCACATTCATCATTGATGATGATGATGCTGTGCAAGTCCTCGCCTTCGCCCTCGTGATACGAAAGAGCTTCGTAGCGGCAATCATCGGTCCCAAGCTCATCGTCGTCGACGACTTGAAGTATTGCGTTGATATCATTATCTTCTTGTCCTGGTTTGACAACAAGCAACCGGACCTGCTTGGACCCAATAGGGAATATTCGTATATATCTTCGAGCTTTTTGAGAGCATTTGACATCCGAGACTTTGCCTCAGTGGGCTTCCCACTACCAGCAGGGTTTCGAATGCCTTGGTTCTCTTTACTTTTAACTGCAGGCGGTTGGATCCTCTAATGCCTCGTCAACTTCGGCAGAGAGGTCCCGACCTTCTGTGATGGAGAGGAGGATTTTGCCTCACCGTTGCCGGCCTTCTTCGGAACAAGGATGCTTGACAACCGTGAGTCATGACGGCTTAGTCTTGGTCGCTGGTGCGTATCGCGTGGTTCGCGGGAGTCTGATGCTTTGCTTGGGGTCTAGGGCGGTCAGATATCGACGAGACATCGAGAACTAGCAATGTAAAGGCGAATTTAGCTCACCTGATAAGCTGTCTCATTATCTTGTTCGTCCGCGCCCGCCATCGTGTCCACATGTTATTGAGAATCGCCGTCCAGCTTGGAACGCTTGTGTGACTTCTTATTGCCGTTCGTTTTACCGCCATCATGGACTCTTTTGTTGGACGGCGTCATGTTGAGAGTATGTGTATTCGCTTGTGTAAAAGATGTAAATCAAGTTCATGCCAGGTACCATGTGCGGAGCAGGATCTCAACAGGTATTATGCATTTTGCAGACTTTCCAGAGGGGGAAGCACACGGGACAGTGGTCTGGAGCTGATTGGATATCGTCGCAGCTCCCCCATCCCTCGCTTCACCAGACGAGGGTGACTGCTCAGTTGCTGCATACCCACGTCGAGTGTAGTCTGCTAAAGGATGGCCGGGTTGCCCTCCAGTGCAGGCCAATCTCGTGTCCAAAATCTAGCTGGGTGCTTTCCAGATTCTGTGCATAGCCATAACGTTATTCTGCCCGTGACTTTTCATCTTTTGACACTGCGCACACGCAGCTACAAGGTCTGGTCTGGTCTCCAGTACTGACGGGTTGTATGTGGTGGACAAAAGGCATGCATGTGATGGCATGATTCTAGAGGTTTCCGCTTTCAGAGGTCATATCGAGCTGAGCCAGCTGATGGATCCATGCCCAGGTGGCGTTGATCCTGGATTTTCAGGCCCATCTCGTTACAAGAGGCTTATCGAAACCGTCTGGGCACTGCAACCTTCTAGTCTTGCAAGCGGTAGCTCGCAAGATGATTGCGACCTTACACTCTTCACGGCTGAGTACCTAGGTATGTGAGCGAGACCTGCGAAGGAAGAAATCGAAGGACAAGCTGGATGGAGTTGTACCCCATGGTCAGTACGAATTGCGAGCAGTTGACATGTTCGCCTGTGCAACCTGTGTGTTCGTTCGCGATATGTAGGTGAGTGGATGGGGGACGGCCCCCGCAGATGTGGGCCTCTCCGGTAATTGCGATCTGCGCAGTGCGCTCCGGCTCCTGTTGCGTATCTCGTCTTCGTGGGCAGCCTGCCCTGCCAACACTTTCTGCTTACTTCAATTCAATGCGCGCTTGATGGCGCATGCACTGGCCTGCGCGAACGATGCGCGAGATCACCTAGGCTCCACTGTGTTTGCCGAAGGCTTTCAGCACTTGATGACGGGATGGCCGTCCCATGCATACTATACTACGCGCGCCAGGGGTGCCGGCAGTGTCAGCGATTCAAGTACTGCAGCCCAAGACTATTTCAGACTTGGTGTCTATGGCAAAAAAGTGTCTTTATGACATTATGCCTCGTTCAGCTTAGAGGTTATCAAGTTGCTGGACTGCGCCACAACAAGTGCAACGCCACCGAGCTCATATAGACCTTCCGTGACCGTCGCTGAGCGACGCAATGCCATCGAGCGACTATGGACCCTCTCAGTGTTACCGCAAACGTAATTACGGTATTGCAGGTCGCCAACTCCATCATAACAATATGTTACGAAGTTCGTTCAGCTCTCAAGCAGAGTCCTTGGTCCCTAACCAGAATTATCGACGAGATAAGGGACCTTCGAAATGTGTTGGAGAGCTTAGAGCAGGTCTGCCGCGCGCTCGATACATCAAAAGAGTCTGACACCGCACGTTTCCGCACATTTCAACTACTATGCGAGTCCGAGACCAGCCCGTTAACTCGCTGCCTCCAGGAGCTATCAGATCTAGAGAAGAAGATCAACTCCGGCAAGCAAACTCCTGGAAAGCAAACTCTTTTGGCGAAAGCGCGAGTGTTCACCCAGGTTATGGGCTGGCAGCTGAAAGAAGGTGATGCGAAAGTATGTCTAGAAAGAATAGAGCGGTGCAAAAATACCATACTCCTGGCGTTGACCGCGGATGAAACGTAGGCTACCCCCACGTTATCACTCATCTTTCTCTCAGCTCATCAAGCCTTGTAGAGCTCTGCTCCTTGACATCAGGAAGATGACCATCTCCCTGAACGAGACCACAGACCACGTGCATGGCAATGTTTCCAAGCTCCTCACTAGGATAGAGAGCGCAGAACTAGGTATGACTCTTTACAACGTGCAACTCTCAGCAACTCATGCGCACAGATGATCGATCCCGAGCTCTTACACATTGGCTTGCTCCAGTAGCGCCTTGGGAGAGCCATGAAGCAGCTGCCTCTGCAAGGAAATCTGGGACAGGCGGCTGGTTCATCGAGTCGAAGGTGTTTCAAGCCTGGGCTGTGTCTGGTAATGCTGGACTATGGCTGAGCGGCTTTCGTATGTAACACCGTGACATCAGAAGTGACCGTGCTGACATCTCCGCTTAGCTGGGTCTGGCAAAACTATTCTCTTGTGAGTATGCATTGAACTCTCGAGGGTGCAATGATTAACTTGGCCGAAGCGCAAACGTCATCCAGTCTCTGGAGAGTTTACTGCCTTCTTTGCCACAACCCACGCTGGCGGCATTCTTCTATTGCGACTTTCGCAAGGCTGAAGCACACGACCCCACCAATATTCTAGGCTCTTTGGTCGCTCAAGTATGTTCGCAAACCGGAGCCAGCTATGACGAGCTAGAAGTTGCTTTTGACCATAGTCGCCATTCGAACAAACGGCCATCTATGGCCTTGCTGAGGGATATGCTATGTTTGCTTTCTGCGTCGAGAAGAATCATCTTGCTAATCGATGCGATTGACGAATGCGTTCAGCGGAAAGACCTACTGTCATCCATGGCGTACCTCCAGAGCAAGGGAAAGAACATCAGCATCTTCCTTACAAGTCGGCATGAGCTCGATATCCAGGATGTACTCGCTTCGTTCGAACTCATTCAGATGGAAGCATGGACAAGAGAGATCGATGAAGACATCAAAACGTACATCGACCACAGACTGCACACCGACCGAAGTTTGTTACGACTGAAACACTCTGTGAGAGACGAGATCAGTGTATGCCTACACAAAAGATCTTCTGGGATGTAAGTACCTCTTTCACGGACTTGCATTATACGAAAGTAACAATATAGGTTTCGATTGGTTCAGTGCAGTCTTGATCAAGTGTCTGCACTTCGTACCGTCCGCGACATCCGGTCCACTCTCCAGCACCTCCCACAGGAGCTCGGGCAGATCTACGAAAGCATATTAATGAGAGTCTCAGCCGCTGATACACCCATCGTTCGCAAGGTCCTACTCTGGCTCTCGTTTACGGTGTTACCAGTCACACTAGAGGAGCTTCACTCTGCTATCGCTATTGAACAGGACTGCGAAGAGCTGGATGAAGACTCGTGCCTCAGCAGCGCAGAAGAAATTATTGCTGTTTGCGGTAGTCTGATCACAGTCTCAACGAACGGGCCAGGCCATGTTCGTCTCGCTCACCTTTCTGTAAAGGACTATCTGCTTTCGGAAGACATTCGCAACGGTCCTGCAACAGCCTTCGCACTCGATCGAACGGCAAGCTATCGCGAACTTGCGCTGGACTGTCTTACCTATCTCTCTTTCCGGAGCTTCCAGAGCGGCCCTTCAACATCTGGGGACGAATTCGCCGCACGTTTGGCAAAGTACCCCTTCCTACGCCATGCGACCACATCCTGGACATACTACCTACGGGCAGCTGAAATCCCAGAGAAAGCATCAATCCAACTTGACGAAAAGGTCCTTGCATTCTTTTCTCCGTCCAATCACGAAGCGTTCATGTCCTGGATTCAAACTTTGAACGCCGGGTCTTCCTCGGCTGGCAGCAGTTGGTCTTCGTACCCAAAGCATGCAACCGCTTTGTACTACGCAGCATCTTTCGGGTTGCTACACGTATGTCAGCATATCATCCATCAAGGAGTAGACTTGAATGTTCCAGGAAGTCGATACGGAGGTACCGCGCTGCATGGAGCCGTGTGTCGTGACCAATTGTCGGTCATTCGCGCACTGTTAGAGGCGGGTGCGGACGTCAACAAGTGTGATTTTGACAAAGTTACTCCACTGCATACTGCTTCAGCAGAAGGCTATGTGGACTGCGTGAAGCTGCTGTTACAGTATGGGGCGAGCAAAGATGCTTTAGACAGGGGTGGAGAGAAGCCCATTGATTGGGCCAGGAATGCGGAGCAAGATGACTGTCGGGATGTACTCGATGCAAATCTTGTAGAGATTGCAGAGCCCGTAGCTGGTGAGGACGAGGCGAAGATGTGGACTGGATGGAAGGGGACATACATTCCTGTTTGGTCCTCGCGAGTATAATGCTTCCGCTGCGCAAAAGCTTAGGTAGGCCGTCTCGAATCATACTTCAAGTGTCGCTTTTGAGATCATTTCTTTAGGTCACGAAGCGGTCAGAAAGATTGTGACGTTTGTATAAATGCATATGATACGAGAGCCTTTTAGAACGCATCACTAAGGCTGCATATCACATCTAGTCATAGACCACATGAAACTCCTTTTGTACCCTCACACCCCCTAGTGAGCCTGTAATGTCTTCTCTAGTCAAGCCCTCTCTAGAGCTCGATAACGATGTCGCTGCTGATCGACTCTGCTCCACATTCCTTTGTTTAGCCTCGCCTTTCCCGGGGTATACAATTGTGGATAGCTCAATGCCTTGGTGCTGCTGCCTGAGAGGCTCTTCAGATATGCTAGGCGCCCTGTTGGGGCTCCCAGTGAGAAGGTTGCACAACGAGTTCCAAGCTTTAGCGGAGGTCCGCCCCACTTTCGAGTGCTCCTGGGTAGTTTTGGTGGCGCTGCTTCTGCCTTTGGACGTCGTCCGTATACCACTCCGACTTGCTCCCATATTCGTGCCCATACCACCGATTTGTAGATGTGAGAGGAAAGTCTGGATACGTGGTAGTGTAGCGTGATTGATCGAAATGTGAACAACGATTTGGTCCATTATGGCCCACATCAGTTGCGATCCTAGGAAATGTTTAGCGATAGATTCCGGTGAGAACATGGCTTCTTACGTGTTTGATCCTCTAGCTGAAGAGCTTCGTGGATGACTACCATTCGCCCAATATCCACGACGCAAATGAGTAAACGCGATCCGAAGAGCCAAAACACAATAGACTTGGTATGTGCTTTCATTTGCACACCGCGAATGACTGGAAAGATCCATATAGCAAGCACAGCGTCGGTCAACATGTTAAAAATTGTAGTCGGATAGTACACGTTGCCATGTGTAGAGCAACTTCTCGGACTAAGTATCCAAGGCTGTGGTAGTTGGCATTGAAACGCGATCAAAAACAAAGAGAGTAGCGTGTACACAGCGACCATGGGCATGAGCCATCTGACGGCTTGAAGGCCAACTTCGTTTGGAGCGATGCGTTGGAATAGGACAACGAGGGATAATTTAGCAAAAGCGAGAGCTATGACAACCGAGATTTGTGCGGTCCAGAAAAGCTTTGAGTACATGCTTAGTATAACTCGTAGTCCTAGTTCAATCGCATACCTTAAAATAATGAGCTACTTGCTTTTCGTCAAGCGTTTCCTGGTGTCTTCCAAGTCCTGCTCGGACGCAGAAGTGAGACAAGATGGACGTGAAGACACTAAAACACTACGCTTTGTTAGTAACGTAGGCACAGAACATCGAGGTGTAGTATCTTACGAGTCCTGCACCAAATACAAGATCATCAGACTCGAACCGATAGAACTTTTGCCGCCGCATTGCCATGCGTACCGTTGCGATGAGTATGCTTGTAACTGGAAGAACGATGGAGACAATTGTATTGATTGGGCCGTGATCCTCGGCCGTGAGTGCGGCTATGGGCTGGATGGTGCCTGCCATGATAAAGCGACAAAGCAGTGATGGAGTTGACGCGACAGAGATGGTGACGCTTGAGACCACTCACACTAATGCTCCTTCTCACGACCAAGCTACTGGATCAATTGGCTCAGACACAGCAAGAGCGAAATCCTTCCTGCTGATAACCAACATTCAAGTTGGCGGGCAGTACCCTGCTCGCATAAAGCAGTCGCCTGTGATAAGAGAGTCACTGCCGCTCCTGGAAGCCTCACCCGTGAGTCTGAGGCGCAGTCGGTAAGAAGGGTAGTGCTCATAGCCCCCGCAGGCTTCGACGATCAGGTCAGAAGGATTCTCAAGGGACCTGGCGGCATATTATGTCGCTTGCGGCATCATCTCTTGTGGCCTTATCTCTGCTCCTTTCTTCTAAGCCAGTGATAGCTGAGCGGGGTCTATCAGTCGAGGCGTATATGACATGGTCCTATGTAAAGGACATGGCCTACACTGGAGTGTCTTGGACGATACAAAGCTTCTAGTAAGCCCATAGATGCCTAGTTGCGCGTTCTAACAGACTGGGTGTAGTAGCGCAGGGCACGCCACATCGTCCGAGAGGCACTTGGATGTGCATCGATAGGTAACCGAGCGGATGGATACCCGACGCCGCGCACGGCCTGAAGCGAGGTTTACGAACGCAGTGGATTGATGAATGAAGCGATGGCTGAAGAGCGCCTGGGCCATGGTGATGCGCCAAGATCCCAAAAAGATTAAAGGCCCGGACAAAATTCCCACAGACCTCGGGAGGGCCGGGCCCGTGCCGTTGCTGTTCCCCCACCTGCACGGCAACATCTTTCGCGCCGCCTTAGATCACAAGAAGACGAAGACCCCCGTGAGCCGCAGCTGCTAGCGCCTTCTACAAATGTGATACTGTACGTGCCGACGGCAGGTAAGCTATCGTGCTGCGCGCGGAAATACGTCAATCCTTCAATTAAAGCTCTGTTATCTTCTCAACTATCAAATTGCATCTTTCGAGCCTCGATAGCACTATCTGCCAACTGTGCATACACTGCAGGGGTAGAATGAGGAGAGTCGTCCGGAGGCGACCCATAAGCAGGGAAGTTCCCCTGTCGATACACATCCAAGGTGACATCCGAACGCAGCTCCCAACCCCAACGAGCCGCTCTAGACACCTCGCGTCGATGCAGATTCGCGGCGTGGGTATCCTGCGATCCCCCCTGCCTCTTTTGCGACTGGCTGGGTCTACGTCTGGAAGCTTGACTACATGATCCACGTTGGAATCCTGAGATCCGTCGGGGCACTGCACGTAAACAGGAAGTATACTGCGTTTCGCTTCGCAGATGTCAGGATCTCTGTCGCTCACTTTGAGTTCGGCTCTACATATCGTCTGTGGTCAGCCCCAGGATAAAACCTCCGAGCCCCATGTCTAGTGAGATTCACCACCACTTACAATGCTTCGTGCTTTGACAGTTTCCCACGACGACGACCACGACGTATCCCCTCAACCCCGTCCTTATTCCCTCGATATGGACAAAGATGCGGCACTTGTCACAACGACTGTTCCAGATTATCACGATGGACTACGCGAGAAGATGGATAAACCCAAGGATGACACTCTCCCCTCTGGTTCCTCAAGTGGCGGCGGATTCCAGGTAAGTTTCACTGATCTGTCACTCGAAGATCGGCCATCTAATTACTATCCCAGCGCTATATAAACCAACTCGCCATCAACAATTTTGGATTCACACTCCAAGTAGCATGGGAGGCCGTTGGTCTCTCGTTCCAGCTTGCATGGCTGAATGGTGGTCCTGCCGCACTCGTCTGGGGGTCTATGATCGCTGGCGTCGGCTCCACTCTCGTCGCTACAGCTTTGGGAGAGATGGCTTCCATGGACCCCACCGTAGGTGCACAGTACAGGTGGTCGGCGCGCTTCGCTCCATTCGCTCCTGAATTCTGGGGTTTTATTCAGGGTTGGATCACAGTCATTGCGTGGACTTGCAGCTGCGCCGGCGCGTTCTCCTTCATGTCGAACACTTTATCCGGATTGATCATCTTCAACAGCCCCAGTTACGAGCCTAAAGCCTGGCACTCCACGGTGTTTCTGATCGCCTTCCTCATCGTTCCGCTGGTTCTCAACCTTTACTTGCGAAAGATCATCAATTATCTGGAAACAATTGGTGGACTTTTCCACGTAATCCTCTTCGTTGCTATCGTTGCGACACTGTGCACGCTTGCGAAGCGTAGTACCCCCGAGTATGTCTTCATGACGTTGCACACAGATGCCGGCTGGACCAACCCTGGCGTCGCATTCTCTATTGGCCTGCTTGCTGTAGCATACCCTATCAGTAGTTTTGATGGTGTTTTGCACATGAGTAAGTCCCATAACGCAGTCCATGATTTGATGCCAATACTGATATAGTCCATAGTCGAGGAGACCAAAGAGCCTCGTAAGCGCGTGCCCAAAGCTATGATTCTAGCGACTTCCTTGAACGCGATCATGATGATCGCCTTTTGCATTTGTTTGATGTTCTGCATTGGCGATGAAGAAGCCGTCGCAAACTCAATCTTGCCGATTACGGAGGTCTTCTACTCCGCGTAAGTGCGCCAGCTGGCATACGATAAAGGTTCGGCACTGACATACTGCAATAGCACAGGTTCCAAGGCAGCATCAACAGCAATGACGGTTCTGATGGGACTCCAACTTATGGTCGGCAACTTCAACATTGTCGCGTCCGTAGCTCGACTAGTCTGGCGATTCGCGTCCGACAAGGGTCTTCCTTTCCACCAGCATTTCACCTACGTGGGTCTTATCCGATCCAAAGCCATAAACGAAACTGACAAAACTAAAGATTCATCCGACGCTCCAAGTGCCAATACCCGCACTCTTTCTTGTCGGCTTCGTTTGTTGCCTTCTATCGCTCATCAATCTCGGTTCCGCAGCCGCCTTCAATTCGCTCATATCGCTACCTACCATCGCCTTATACGTATCGTACCTCGTTCCTATTACGCTCTTCACAGCTCGCCAGCTTGCTGGTAGACATCCAAAATACGGCCCCTTTCAATTAGGGAGATGGAGCGTTCCGATCAAGCTCTGCGCTATTGTCTACTTGATATATGTTATCATCTTCGTTTCGTTCCCAGCATCCAGACCGGTGACAAGCTTGACTATGAACTATGCGCCTCCCATTCTTATTGGATTCATGGTCATCGCGATGGTGGATTGGTTCGTCAGGGGCCGCAAGAAGTTTGAGGTGCCTACAGCTGCACTCGAACATGCGGAGGATGAGAGGCCGTAGGTTTGCATATTGGCGGCTGTAATGTAACACAGTATCAAGTAGCCGACTCTGCTAGTAGGCGATACCCAGTCTATTAGTTGCGTCTAATCGATACAGAATCATGAACGCCGTCGCGATGCCATATTTTCTTTCATGAGCCCTTTGCTAACTGGCTACATCTCATCAGCATGCCATTCCACACTGGAAAGCAGTTCCATACTCACTCCTGCCAAGACTCCGAGTCGAACAGTCCACGTAGCCAGTGTACCAATCAAGAGATCTCTTCACAGCCTTAAGCGAAGTACGAGAACAACATCGCCACCAAGCTGAGGGCAAAGGTAGCCGGTGCAGCTCCCATCGCCGACGCGCCCGAAGCCTCAGGAACATTGTTCGTAGCCGCACCGCCCATGTACCACGACCCGATATCCGTCAACTCGCCGTCCTGGGTAAGCATAGCAGCGTTCGCGCCGACATTACTGACGTCGGAGCGGAAAGCGCCGAAGTAGGAGTAGTGTGTGATGTTCCTGATCACAGCGTTAGTCAACAATCTTGTTAGAATAGATGAGACGAGTACTCACGGCCAACTATCAAAGCTCTGCGCACTCATGTTATAAAAACTCTGCGTCTCCTCGAGCGGCTGATTCGGGTATCCATACTCCGTGACCCAAACCGTCATATTGGGCCACATCGTCGTAACGCGTCCAATATGGCTCATCATACCCTCAAAGTTGCCATACCAATGCACAGGGATAAAATCGGGATTGCACCCGCCATCGCACTCGTTGAAGAAGTTTTCCAACCACTGCCATCCGGATTCCGCACCTGTGACACCCGGTGCACCTAATTTGATGCCGAGTTCCTTGAGGGGCTCGATTTCGGCTTTCCAGCGCGCGGCTGCGGTGGTGACGGCGAGGTTGGAGCCGCCGGTGGAGTGGCCGCCGTCGGGTTCGTTGAAACCGAGAACGGCTGTTATGTTGGCTCCGTCTTTGATCTGCTGCTTCACGGAGTCGAGGAACGGGGTGCCGGTGTCGCTGTCAGAGGCGCCCCAGAGCATGGGGACGAATTGCATGTCTGGGTTGCCTTTGTAGGCGGATGAAGGGTCTTTTTGATAGTTGTAGTACCATGTTGGAGGCGATGGGCCGGTTGTCCAGATCTTGTCGTCGTCTGGGTGGCCATCAGAAGGGACGTAGACGAGGCCGCGTTTTGATGATGTGGAGGCCGTGGATTGTGCGGTTGTGGAGGTTGTGGTAGTGAGCAGCGCCGTTGCGGCGGTGAGGAGGGCGGTGCGTCGCATCTTTGCTATGAGGGTTGTCTGATGGAGTGTTCTGCGGCGTAGCGATGTATGAAATTCGACTGTTTTGGAAGTGGATCTGGGATATTCGGTACCGGCGACACGTCGATGGGTTGCTAATCGTTACGTTGTCGTGCGGTTAGATGTCGCTACTCAGGGACACCTCAAGATAGCTCTTTGCTCGTCGCAATTCGCAAAGATGATATAGACAGCAGGAGGCGATCAGATAGGTAACAGAGCAAGAGCACCTTCCACGGAAATTCCAACTCTTCTAGCTAGCTCAGCCAGCAAAAATTCCCAAAGCTGTCAGGAGAAATCTCGAAAGCGACTCGTTACGCAAGCCACAAAAACGCCTTTGCGACTGGACCAAGACGGGACAATTAACAAGCCAGGTATCGTACACGAACCCAAAGACCCGGGAAAAGAGAAGAGTAGACGAAATGTTAGCTACACAACGAGCGCGCTCCTTCCCAAATAGATACCCGTACGAGCCAAAAATTGTTAGCTTCCAACGCCGTCAAACGTCACGAACTCAGGGTACTTCAAGAAAAAAAATGCGCTACCAGGCTGGAGATAACAATATAACCCCACCGCCCTCCCACGCTACACCTGCACCATAGCTGTTAGCATCTATCGAAAAGAGATAAACCGGCATCTTGGGAGCCGGCTAGATTGCTGCCGCGCCGCTCAGAAAAGCGTAGTGGCGTTGTGCTAGGTAGGTTTTGGACCTTTGGTGACGCCTGCCGTGACGCAGGTACAAGCGCCCATAAGCCCGCGCCACAAAAGGGGACAAGGCACGACCCAAAGTAAAATCCGCCGGGAGATCGACTTTGCCGGAGGCGTTCGGCGGGAAAAGCGCGGTTTCTGGGTGGGACGAGGGTGATGGAATAAGGATTTACATCGAGCGATCTGAGCGATCGGCAGGTACAAATCTGCGTCGGGCTGTCGAGAGTTCTGCGTCGTTCATCTTGGTTCAGATACCATGTGTCGCAGCCCAGGCAAGGTACGTCGCTAGGATGTATTGGCTCAGGGGTGGCGCATGCGAAGTGTTGTCCCAACATTTCGGGGCTGCAGCGAGTGTTCAGCTGGCCGGCTAGGTAGCTCTCTGCCTGCAGTGCTTATCGGCGAAAGTTAAGATCGCACGTGCCCTGGCCAGTCTGGCCCAGCTGCCGCCGAGCCGCGTGCAGTGAGATCTCAAGACGTGGCATTCTCTGGGCAGACATCACTCACAACCACGGAGAGGTACATGAAACAGCGATATGACAGTTGGGTATTGGTATTTACATCTTTCGCTACATCCTAGTTCACGTTGCCGTTCCTATTCCATTTCCAACTCCACTCACTCCGTCCCTTTTCCAACCTTCTTCTCCTTCACTCCACTTTGACGATATAGCAGAAAAGAAAGTGGTATGTGTGCGCAAGCCCCAGGCTTACCGCTTTGCATGAGATTACAAGAGCTTGTATCAGATCTTTCTTTACACAAAAAAAAAACTCGACGATGAACACAAGGAAAGATTCGTAAATACACAAACGTGGAGCGCGAGTATAGCCCGGTCCGTGTGCGGGAGATAGATGACTGAGGATATGGTTCGACCGCTCTATGGTTTGTCAAATGCGACCACCGCAATGCAGACATAGGAACAAAACAAATAGGAGATTATGCCTAGATGGCGAGATGTTTCATCTCTTTAGGTCTTCGCTCTTGGATGACTCGAAAGGTTGTTGGCTTAGTACGCATAGGGGCCAGGGGGACCTCGTGGTTGTTGAGGCTGCCATGGGGCGTTGGAAACGTAGCCGGGCGGCTGATGGAAGCCAACTTCCGCATCGCGCCCTGGACTGCTCTCACGGCTCAAGTTCCGCTCATGCGTTGCTGTGCGGCCGAATGTGGATGCATCTGCAAGCAAGTGCCCTTGGTCGTCTCCGAACGAACGACCCCCGGGACCGTTGTATGCGGTGTTTTGGTCCGCGAGAGGAACGGGGTCGTAGCCGGCGGTGCGGGGACCGAACGGCGAGGGAAGTGATGTTCGCTTGTACTCTTGGGGGTCCATGAGTAGCGAGTTGCGTGCGTCGAGAGGAGTGAGGTTGTCGAGGTCACGAGCTTTCTCTGAGGGGGCTGTTAGATGGTGTTGGCAGTTAGAGGACGGAGAAGACTTACCAGCTGCCTTTCTCTTCTTACGGTGAGGGTTCTCCTTGCAGCAAATAATGATCGCGTTGACGGCGATGAGGATAGCAAGGACACCAGTGAGGGAGGCTTGCACGACAACAAGAACCAGACCGGTGACGGTCTTCGTGGTCTGGCTCATGCCAAGTTCTTCGACGAAGACCAAAATGCAGACAACCGATAGGACACGAACAACGGAGATGGTAATGTTGATCCAGGTGCTAGACTTGAGCGTGTACGGACGAGCCCAGAGAAGCATGACAAGGAGGAGCGACTCGACGATGAGTTGACCAGCAGCCTGTGCGAGACCGTGGCCATCTGCTCCTGCGATAACGCAGCCACGAGCGAACAAGAAGATGATGGCCGGTACGAAGATCCACCAGTAGCTCTTCTTGTAGTTCTCGTAGAACATGCTGTACTTGCGCCAAATCTCCTTGTCCTCGTAAAGAGCGTCGGGCTTTCCCTCCATCTTCTTGAACTTGTCCGCAGTGCTCCAAATCTTCCAGGTGAAGAAGGCTAAAACTCCGGTGAATGCGGCCAGGGTAACACCAGCAAGTGTCTTGACAGCCCACGAGTCTCCGTTCTTGAATTGGTAGACACAGTACAGGACCCAGATACCGTAGAGGAGGAGAATCAAGTTGGTGATTGTCTTGGCCAGAGTCCACCAGTATCGCTTGCGGAAGCTAGTCAGTTTCTTCGGGAAGCTGCCGAATAGTGCCCATGTCTCCAGAATGACCTTGAATAGAAGGATACCAACAGTGATGGCGGCGATGATAATGGCGAAGATAAGCAGAACGGTCATGAAGGCGTTACGGTCAGGGATGGTGTACTCCTGGATGAAGCCCTGCATGTCCTTCGCGTAGACAATGACCTTGTTGTCACCTCCTTCCTCGGCGGTATCGTTGATGTTCGTGTTCAGTTCGTCGCGAGCGAATAGAACGTCGAAGCTGCGCTTGGTCAAGGTCATGTTCTGGTCCACGTGTACGAGGGTGGCGTTCTTGAGGAATTCGACACTGCTCTGCGTGAGATTGCCGCCAGTGCTTGCACGGAAGTTGTCGATCGAGTGCTGCATTCCCTCCCAGTAGATAAGACCGGTGCTGAAGGCAAAGTTCTGAGACCAGCTGCGGTATACACCAGGGACGTCAGCGCTCATCATGCCGTTCAAAGCCATGGCCTGGAACCATCCGATAACGTCGCCAAAGGTAGGACTGGATTGGGCCGCACCAGGGTGTCCAGCGCCAGCGAGCGAAGCCAGACCAGTGACGGCCAAGGCAGCTCCAGCAATTCCAGCGGCGATGTATTGTACTCCTGCGGTGGAAAGTGATTGTCCGTTGCTGACTTGTGAGGTAATGCAGGCCAGGTCCTTGCCTCCGTCTATGGCCTTGAGCTGCATCCTGGCTTGACTGTCGATATCGGGAATGTTGAAGGCGATGCTGGGGATTTGGGACATGATGCTGTCGGGGATGCTCTGCTCGCCCTGTGCGCCGAAAGTGCCCTTGGGGACTGCTACACGTTAGCTTGTACATCATGCGCATATCATGGCTGTGTGCGTACCTGGACATAGCTGGTCGACTTTGTATTCACCATCGCAAGGATCGAACTCTTTGTTGTACAATTCTCTGCCGTATGCGTTTACGGTGAGGATTGCCATAACCTTCTGCTCAACCTCGTTGGTGCCGGACACATCGAATTTGACCTTCTTAATGGAGCGGTCGAACTCGATATTCAGTTTGTTGACCTTGATGTCTCCTGTACCTTCCAGACAGGAGCTGAAACCGTTGGTCTTGAGGATGTCGCCAGCCAGTACGCTCAGTGGCGCCGATGCCAGTAATATAAAAGGTGCGAGCATGGCCGAGTATGTCGCGTGGGGCCTCATCATTGGTGTTGTGCGCCCGGGGGCGTCCTCCAGTGGCGGGTGTCGATAGCAAGCGACGGTCGCAGTAGCGATGTGTCGGGCGACGTCGGTATGCGCGGGTGCTTGCTGACAAAAGCGAGTGTAGCAAAAGAAACAAGCAGTAGATTAAACGGGGGTCGGCCGCAGGTTCAACCTTTCTCGTGCCTGATGGAAAGCGGTAAACAAAGGCAAGTGTCCAGAGGGAAGGCGCGTCGAGGAAGCGGCGAGCCAGGAAGAGGGTTTGGGGTCGAGTCGGCAGGTACGAGGGACGCAAAAGTGAAACGACTGACGAACGAGGGAGCGATGTGGTTGAAATGAGGACGAGGCGCTGAAGCCGGTATTCTGCCTCTCTTCTGAAACCGTGCGGCGACAGCCAAGGGGGTTCACTCCAATCAGGAAGGGACGCGCGGCGCTAGCCTCGATTAATTCCGCGATGGCGCAGTCGCTGGATCCGACGCTATCGAAGGGTGATGGTTGTTGGGCCGCGTTCGAGAACACGATGGGATGCAGATGGGGTTGACGTTGGGGCAATGTCAGGGACTGTTGCGCGAGCTGGGGAATGAATGCTTTTTATCGTTAGGTCATCACCATCTGCTACTGCCGCGAGACACGCTGCCCTCACACGCCAATACACCACTACTGTCGTATACTGGCAGCTGAAGACTGCTACCGTGCAAGGCGGGCCTATCAAACTACCCCGGTCCGCTCGAGACCGTTGCCGTCGCCAAGTCAACCATCGTGTCATCGATGCGGAGTCGCAGAACTGCCTGAAGCTTCAAGCCATGCACAAAGAGCTTATCTCGCCATCATCATCTCTTGTGCACACAAAATCATAGGAGTTCATCATCATCAAATTCACTTTGGTAGCCTACGCCGATGACCCCATGGACGGCGCCAGCGTGGCTGTGCAACACCCCAGGGTGGTAAAAATAGATGCTCGGCCACTAGGTGAGAATTTGACGACTGCAGCTGCCCAAAGAGACCAAGTGCTGCATCGAGGGATGACGTTCCCTCGTATACTGTAGGCCCGAAATACTTTTGTTGTGGTTCAACAATCTGCATCTGTCTTTGGTGTGATGACGGTACCCCTTTGAGAGGAGACAAACTTGCTGCAGTCAGAAGAGGAGCTATTCTACACCTTCTGTCTTTGTGTTTGTGCTGTGCGATCGGCGTCTGGTAGTTGCGCGGTCTAGAAACTTTGAGGGCTTCGAGACCTCGAGAGCTGCGTGATTAAGCCGATCACTAGCCCCAGCACCCGCCGGCCGTCACATCAGCCGTGGCCAGGCGCCCTCGTCATCTGCACAGTGAGACCACCAAGACCTACACAACAGCCACTACAGTCGCGCGCCACACTACAGCCAAGTGCAAGCCTCAGTAACAGACATCGTGACCGCTTTCCTCGTCGATTCATTTCCTGCTATCTTTTCCCATGCAGGCTCGGGGGCCTAATGATCCGCCCATGTTGGTGCAATCTCACGTGCAATTTCATACGCCCGCCAGTATCGCTCCTTCACTACCTGGGTATAGCGCTCTGAATTATACCTCTCATCTCCGTTCCGTCGGTCGCAACAGATCGGGATGATCTTTGGCGAGATGATGGTGCACTCAACGGTCACCGTCAATTGCAGATGCATTCTGTCACGTGAATTACCGATCGAAGTCGTCCCTTCTTCTTACAGATCACACCCCGCTGTTCTGCATTCACACGCTACATCGTCAACAGCCACCGACTGACCGCTGCTAGCAAACAAGAAGAAGATTCTCAAGTGTTTTCCCGTCAAGCGGCTACAGCGGCACAAATCCAGCTGGAATGTCCTTTCTTTCTACCCACGCTACAACAGTCTCCGCCCAAAGTCGAGGATCTTGCCTATTCCAAGGATGTCTCATATCCGGGTGTGTATAAGCAAGAGCCAAAGTGTTGTTCTCTTTTCCAATTTTGGCGAGCTTGCGAGCAGCCTCTGGGCTATCGTTAGATGGAACTAGCCCACCTTTCCCAGCAACAATGATCAGGGTTCGTGCAGACCATGGTCGGATTTGCGCTGCAGCGCTGTCGGTACGCGCGATCTGTGTGCAAAGCGATAGTGTAGGACTACTTGTGTGGCGGATATCTGTACCGTCCATGAGCCAGCGGATCCAAGGTCGTGGAACAGCCTTTTCCATCCGATTTGAGGCCCAGAGCAGGTAAGGTAATAGTGGAGCCCTGGACACAGGCGCCTCGCTATAACCAGAGATGAACATCGACTCGACGACCTGAGGATGCTTGTAGGCAAGACGGACCGCGATAGAAGCACCGAGACTGTGGCCAACAACATGGGCTCGACCACCGATGGCTTCCGCCTCTACCAGACGCGCGATGTGCTCTGCGGATGTTTCGATAGAGAACGGTATGTGTGACGAGCGACCGTGTCCAGGGCAGTCTGGTAGAAGAAGGTGGTAGCCATGGATGTGGGGCATGGCAAGATCCCAATCGTAAGCGTCTGCAAAGGCGCCGTGTATGAACAGAATGGTGGAGCTGCTGTCTTTGTTGACGGATATGTGCCACAGGAGAGCGGTTGGTTCATCCCGCGCAGCTCCTTGCGTTCGTTGGGTGGCCATTTGCGGCCGCTCTTTCTAGAAGACGGCTATCGTCGAACAAGGGTTATAATGTGAAGATTGAGGTTTCGTTGACCAGCTCAGACACATGATAGCGTCATCGCCGTCATCGCCAATAGGCCTCCGCTGCAGCGTAAGGATACTGAGAGGCGTTTTGAAAGACCAATGAGTGATGTTACAGGCAGTACGCAGTAAGACGGATGGTCCTAGTGATTACGCGAATGCAGCCATCACGATCGTTATTTAATCCCGGATCTAACCTTTCTGGCTTTACCACCCGCTTCCCATCACGCCTGCAATGGCTGGCGACCTAACAGATTACAGGCTTCCTGCTCAAAGAGCCATGAGTTCATTTCCTATTTGGTAGCCATCTCGTATACACTCATCTACACTGAAGGCCATTTATAAGACATCCACTTCTCCAGCGTACGATTCCATCCACCACTTCCAAGCTGAATATGCACAAACATATCCATATACTGTTTCCACACAACATCTCGTCCAACCATGTAACCTAATTCTTCAAACGTAAAAGTCGCATTCGGGTTGACGATGCAGAGCACATCCGGGTGCAGCCGAACCTGCAACTCGACCTCGATGATATCGCTAATCATTGCATCGGCGTCGCCATCCATGACAGCTTTGTAAACAGCGTTATTGTCCTGCACCAGAACGATAGTCGCGGCCTTCAAGTTCGCCCGATCAAACGCCTCGTTCGTTCCTCCCGGGTTGACAGCGACTTTGACACCAGCAGTATCAATAGCCTCCAGAGACGAGAATTTTTCTAGATCTACGCATCGCACGCAGGCAGCCTTGCCCACGCGTTGAATCGCAGTAGAAAAGAAGACCTTTTGCGCGCGCGCCAAAGTGATGCTAACGCCGCTCATCGCAACATCGAATTTCTGTGCTACAAGGTCCGTTGTGATGTTCGCCCAGATCGTTGGGACGAACTCAACGGGACGCGGAAGGCCAAGAGAGTTGGAAAGCGATTGCGCCAAGTCAATATCGGCGCCGATGTACGTGGTGTTGATGGCTGGTGTGGCAGGAAGTGCAGTTTGGTTTGTTACTTTGTAGGAGAAGGGCTTGTAGTCTCCCGTTGTGCCGACTTTCAGGTAACCGCGCGTCTGGATTTTGTCGAGAATGGATGTGATGTTGCTATATGCGGTTGCTGTTGAGTAGCTGTGAGAAATGAGTATGGTGGACATCAGAATTGGCGGGCATAGCATTACTTAGGAGAGTATTCGGCGTCATGCTCATTCTTTCCCACCAAAGTGGCGGCGAGAGGATTGATGAGCAAGGAAGCTGCGACGAGCACTGAGGTAGGGTTCACCATTGTGACGAACCTTTTCAATCGCCGAGATTCAACTCACAACGGAGATCGTGAGAATTTGAGGGAGCAGGCACGTAGTTATACTCATCTCCGATCTCCGGAATCTGGATTCTGACAAGCTCCGCCCAGCCTCCAGTAGATCCTTGATAGTTCGAAATTCTTGCCATCCTGAAGATAGGTACCCGGGTATCTTGACCCGCTTGATTCGCAGTCCACGATTGGAAGAACCACGAATGACTAATCATTCCAGTCATAGCTTAGTGCTTGGGTGTCCAGTATCTGGCATCGCCGGTCGTGTCTTGGCAGGGTTCGGGCGATGACGGGGTGTTGCAATCGGCCGATGAAGGCCCGCTCCAGATTTTGATACGAGATAGACATGGAGATTGATGATCATGTGACCGTTCATTCCGGTATCGCACCTGAGTGTTGCCTGAATCTTGGTTTGGCCTACACTAGATGCACTAGTGAATATGTTGATATCTATCCAACTCCCCTGCCTACAGGAAGATATTAGCGTGAGCTACATATAGTCGCAGTAGCTCTTGGGCTGTCGCGACGAGTAATGAAACCGCGAGGCTGATTCTCTTCCACTTCCGTATCAATCTGGGACTGTATATCTAATTAACCCCGTCGCTCTTCCACATAACACTGCCCCTCTCATTAGTCTTCCATCTGCTCTTTGACTTTTTTGTCGATGAGTTCAGCAATAGCTCCTCTTGCATCCCAATCTCCGGGTCCTGGCGCGGATTCAGCCATACGTTGTGCTTCTTCCAGCCACTGGTCCCACACATCATTCTTTGGCACATATTCCTTGGCCCAATCGATTTTCTTCGTGGTATAGATCGTTGTCCAAAGACATGGTATAAAGGTTTGATGTTCAGTGATCTGTGGTGGATCGATTTCCAGATCGATGTGCCACGATAAGCGGAGCGGGAGAATTGCGGCGATCCAATACAAAAGATTTAAGACTGTATATGTGACAGCAAGTGCTGCTTTCATTGTCCATACGGCATTACCGAATAGTACAATGGAGCCCACAAGGGTAAGCCCACCTACGGTACCGCTCAAGCCACGCCCCGTGAAGGAGCTGACCACGTAGTCGATGTTGTCAGGATGGAAGTAAAGAAGACGCGCGACCTCCTCATCGCATTCTACAACCGTGAAGCATCCGTTTGAAGATTTGATGACAACCGTACCCGGCGGTGATCCAGGATATTTCCTAATACGAGTTGGAAACTTTGGCCTCCAACGCATCCCGACACAAAGTAGAGGTGTCGTAAAACTCATGACCAGGATACCAGTAAGCGCGACTGCATCCCCGAGCACAACAGCCCATGCTGCCAGTCCGAAGCTCAACGCGCAGCTGAAGATAGCAATCATGTTCATTGGTGAGAACAATCTTGGTTGAAGTGGGATTCTTCTGAGATTTCCATCTTTGTTCCTGGGATTCCACCGTATCTTCACTACACGTGTCGTGAATGGTGGTAGCTCAGACCCATCCGTGTGTAACATTCGACCAATATACGATAAACCCGGTCTTTCATTATTCGAATGAACGCCCTTCACCGGCACATCATCCTCAGAATCAAGTTTCTTCGGTCGTTGAGCGAGGAGACCCTGAGGCGCCGGTATCAGTCGTGGTAGGAAGCACGTCCAGGACATGCAGATCTGCTGGCTGCAAGCTATGATGTTATGCTCGCCCAAGAAGGCTAGGATGTTGACGACGTCGAGGCTCCAGTCATCGCGCAATTTGGGGTAAGTGATATCGATCATGTTGGATGCTGCTTGTAATGTCGAACTCTCGTGAGATGCAAATGGTTGGTCGACACATGTTGGAGAAGAGTACGACAGGTGCTTGCTTTCGTGTTGGGGGACGAGGTTTACTAGCGGTTCAGCCGCAGGAGGGGCGCAATGCCTGGTTCCAAGGCTAGGTAGGCAGACTTCAGCTGAAGCTACCTAATAATGCTCGTTCCCTGCCTAGCCAGGTAGGCGTGGTCGAAAGACTTTTTTCTGGGCTTTCTGGGACCTTATGTACCTAGTTATCGCGCATCGAGTAGTCGTAATGATGCGATGCTCGTGAGGTGATGTGTGAGGATGGACTGACAAAACCGCGAATCAATCAGCCACGGCCAGACTCATGGTGGCGTCGATCTACAAAGCCCGCTAGTGGAAGGTCCGTGCGTGCCAGACAGTCCTTCCGCTCTGCATCCAAAGACGCGAAACCCAATAAAGGGTCATCAAAATTGCTACAAGGTATCCTCTCGCTCGCTTTAAGAATACGTCAAGGCTTCGTTGCGCTGATCGCTGTCTGTACTCGAATCCTCTCCAAGCCGGAAGACATCAGCATGGGGAGATTGGAATGACAAGAGCCTCGTGGCTGCAGAGAACACCAACTAGCGACCGGTCTGCCTCCCGTTCCCTACGACATGCTGACCCTCCGTCGCAAATCAGACCGTCATTTTCTCGAATCTCCTCCTCGTCTCCGCTTCTCGATGGGCTCTTGAGACGACATGAGGTCGCCAACTTTAGGCCCCACTAGCAAGCTTCCAAGGTTTGCTGGCCGTTGATTCGAGCGAACGAAATCCTCCGCCTCCCGTAAACTTCGTGCCCCAAGGCTCTATCTCCACCTTTGCAACGTCACTTGCGGAGAGTGGTTCTTTGCCTTCCTTTTCCAGGAACCGTTACCCATCTCAGACTACCCGACCGGACGGATCGTGGTACGCGACAAGGGTGTCGCTGTAAGGGCAGTATGATGCGCCGTTCGTCTGCACATGGCACACAAGACCTGCCCAGGCGCGAAAGACAGATCCGCATCATAGACGAAATGCGGTATGCTATATAAGACTAAGAGGTTTCCCGATCATCACTAGAATTTATCGCCGCGCCAGGTCGCCTTCTACCCAGGATGTCTCCCACCAAAGCCAGCCTCACGGCTCTCGCCTTCGGACTCTCATCTCTCTTCACTCGAGCCCTCGCCGCTCCTTCACCATCCTATAACTCGGTCAAACCTGTCAAGGACCCCTACTCTAGGGATTACTGGCCTGCGCCTCGAAAGATCACCGGCCAGGACTTGAATGGTGCGCTTGGTGGTGTCCACATTCATGACCCAAGTGTTGTGCTCGGACCCGATGGCCACTACTACTCATTCTCCTCTCATGGCTTGGCCACAACGTCCCGCGCTTCGAAGAAGAATAGCCTGGAAGGATACTGGGAGGTCGTTGGCCAGGTGCTGGAGCCGCCGGGCAGCATTGATGATCCCGCTCAGGCAAACCGTCTTTGGTGAGAAGAGGCAACCTCATCACTACCTCGAGATACCACCTTCTAACGCAATAATGCAGGGCCCCTGACGTCCACAAGGTCGGCGACACTTACTACTGCTATTACACCGTCTCCGACTTTGGTATTTCAGAGTCATTCATTGGGCTTGCTACCTCGAAGACCCTGCAAAACGGATCCTGGACCGACCACGGCATGGTGGTGTCCTCCAACAGCACCGATGCCCCCTTCCCGCTGAGCAAGACCAACACCATCGACGCGGCTTTCATCCAAGACGCCAAGACCGGCAAGAACTATCTTTCCTACGGCTCCTGGTGGGCCAACATCTGGCAGTTCGAATTGACCAAGGACCTCAAGTCCGTCAAGATTCCCACTGCTCGCCAGCTGAGCTACACCTACGATCCCGTGCTGCCGACCAAGGAGCAGGCGTATGCCAACATGTCCCTTTCGTGGGGTGGTGCATCCGCCGAGGAGGCCCCGTACATAAACTACAACAGGGAGCAGGGCTTCTACTACCTCTGGTACTCAGCGGGCCTGTGCTGCGGCTATAATCCCGCTGCACTACCACCGCCCGGGGCTGAGTACACCATCTTCGTCGGTCGCTCAAAGTCACCCCGCGGACCATTCGTGGATCGCAATGGGAAGGATCTAGCTGAGGGTGGCGGAAGCATGGTCTACGGTAGCCACGGCAATACCTACGCACCCGGAGGGCAGGCAGTCATTTCCGACTACCGCGGAAGCGACGTGCTGTACTACCATTACGTGAACACGACGTTCGACCCACTGTACCGAGACAACTTTAAGTTTCTGGGATGGAATCCGATCAAGTACGTCAAGGGGTGGCCGGTGTTGCAGAAGTAATTGGCGGAAGGACATGGACTTCAAGAAGACTATGTATCATGAATGAAAAATGGGTATAATAAGAGCAACCGAATCTATTAGTCTTCCTACAATCATATCACCGACCAGACTTAGCAAAGCTGCAGTGCAAGAGCGTTGTAATTGCAGCGGGAACTGGCGCCAGATCATCTTTCCTTTTTCCTACCAGTATTGACAATAAATTGCTAGCCATCACCCGATTCTTCCACATACGACCATAGGACACTGAGAATTAGGCTTCCCGTCCGCTCAGCCATATACAAGCAGTGTACCGGCGGATTAGTAGTTAGGTGGGTGACCACTAGCGAATCCCCGCTGTTGTATGTTTTTGCCTTCTTTTTGCCCATGTCGCATTACCAACACAAGCGCCTTCAAGCAAGGAAACCCTGCGTATCTTTTTGCTTGCGATCAAATCCCTTGGATGCTCATGAGCCTTGTATCGCTATCTAGCTACTACAAGCCTTCAGCGGATCCTAAGAGTGAAATGTGATGTAAACGTGGGAGCGGAGAAGGGCGTGCTGACGCTTTCTCTAAGACTGACAGCATGAAGCTCTGTTCCTTTCTGGTCTCTAGGAACATTGCAACGTGTCTCCATAGTCGCAAAATCACGCAGACGGATTAGATGTCCGGCTTCTGCGGAGTCCAAGGAAGTTCCTTTCCCTAGCAGTCGCAGCTCTCTTGATACCGAACAAGTCATCCGCGATTTCTTTCGCTTCCCTACCAAGATTTTTCTTGCGCTTCTCGTAAAGCGCCAGCGGGAACTCAAACTTTTCGCGATGCTTCCGGATGCAGTCAAGCGCTGCAGGCTTTCCCGAGTCTAATGCGATATCCAGCGCAGTACGCCGGCTACATGGCAGATTTGTGATCTCAAGTGACGCCTTCTCGAGAAGCGCGTCGAGAGCTTCATAGACGTTCTTAGACAGAGCCCAATGGATTGGATATTTGTTTGCGGAAGGCAATAGCTGCGCCAATATCTCAGGGTTCTGTTCGAGCTGTAGTCCCACGCTGGCAGCATCATCTCGCTCAATTGCAGAGCAAAGTTCTTCTTGTATTTGTGGGTTCTGCTCTGGCGTGACATCTCGCTGATCTTGCGGTGCTCCCCTTTCTATGGATGCCGTCATTCCATTTTGAGCTTGGACTTGTCCATATGGCATGACTACTATTGGATCTTGTGTTTGCGCCACTTGATCTTGCGAACGGATCGATTCTTCTAGCAAAGAGTCTCCGCTGGAGGATATTGGGTGCGGAGAATTATGCAAAGTATCCCGAAGAGTGGCTCGTGAACCGGTGATGGTCGATGGGGGAAATGCTGTTTCCAAGATACTGTGGCGAGTTTCTGGCTCTTGCAATGCGAAGAACTCATAAGATCGCCTCTGGCGGCTAGGTCCATGTTCTTCCGCGTGGCAGTCCTGCGGAAGCCTCAATTTTTCTGAGAGGCCGCGATATTCGTAGTCTCCAGGCGTAAGGTCATACGATTTCCAATCTCGCTGAATCTTGGCAAGTCTGTTGCGCAGCTCCGTCGCTCCTATTCTTTGGTTGCGATCGACGCGAAGAACCCGTCCAAAGATCACCTTGAGTATGGCTAATACACATCTTTGCGCAATTCGACGGTCGTAGGTTGCTCTGAGTAGTATGTTGGACCAATATATAAGAAGGGGATGCAGAGCAGCGCTGAGTTGTCTTCCTGGTTCTGGAATGATACCCACGTTTGGGGTCTGCTCCGGTAGATAGCAGCAGATGTGCGTATCTCGGTCTTCCCATTGATATGAGTCGCTCCTTACGTAGAACAATGGCTCTTTACCAGCGCAGTTCATGAAATCGACCATCAAGAATGTCTCCAACGCCCTGACTCCCTTTGAACCATCGGCAATGAACGCAAGTACCATGAGCGTTACGCAGCCCATAGACCAGACATCACTACCCTGACCTGCTACACTAGTTTCCTGCTCCTGGATCTCTGGAGCCTGATATAGACCGGTCGGTCTCGTTGCGGGCTGAGTTGATGTTCGCGATGTAGCTGTAGAGGTCTGTGCAGACCCCGCCCTCCGTTTCTTCGCATCTCTTTTGCGAGCCAGACCAAAGTCGCTGAGCTTCCAGGTAAGCTTGTACTGTCTTTCGTTCCCGGTACCAGAAAAGGTCTCGAATATCAAGATGTTGTCAGGTTTGATGTCGAGATGTAAAGTTTTGAGTTGATGGTGCAAGCATTCCAATGCTTCGACGATGTCAACAAGGCTGGCGAGTAGGGAGGATGGTGCAATGTATTCCTGGGCGCGATTCTTATCATTGAGCAGATCACCCAGACTGAAACTTGCCAGTTCGAAGATGAGGGAGTGTCTAATCGGCTTTCCTGCCTCGTCGAGTTCAGTTATACTGCCCCAATCTAGCAAGATCATATCATGCTTAGTATTAGAGGTTCGCAATTCCTTGAGGATGTTGAGCTCGATTTCGAAGTCCCGGGTGGCCTCTACCATATCGCGCGCAGGTTCCACCGCCTTGAAAATCTTGAGAGCTACAACCTTCGTGCTGTTCGGGTTACCGGGCACGAAATTGGCATCGTTCTGAGCTTCGTCTTCCTGGATTTCCCAATGACCTTGTGCTATTGTAGCCCTGACAACCTGGCCTTGGGAGCCGCTCTTAATCGATTCCAGTTTGCCTACAAAGGGCAAGCGTTCGCTGCTGCTGATTCGAGGATGTCCCAGCTTTTGAATGGTCACTGGTTTGAAAATTGCTTGATCCGCCAATATGTATGCGTGGTATATGTCTGGGACTCTATAGTTGAACAGATCGGTTTCTGTAAATGGCATCGAGTTATCAGACGGGAGGACATGGTCGTGCTTAGCTGCAGATTGATAGAATCCGGAGGTCAACCATTTCAAGAACATTAAAAGCAATTCTGGTCGGTCTTGGTACAAGAATAGTGCAAGCAGGGACTTTCGACACGGGGTACTCCTAGTTGCTTGGATGCATTTCTCAACAATTTTGTCGAGACACGTATAGTAGGAGCCATTCTGTTCGTTAGCGACATCGCTAGTGATGGCTTGTAGAGCTTCACCGACTCCAGAGGAAGAACCTTCACACGCAAGCTCCCTAAACAAAAGGTCCAATGACTTGTAGGCGAGTATCTTATCCAGGTCGGTCTTTGGCAAGAAGCGGCGAGAGTGTCTGCCATGCTCGGGCAAATTTTCCACAGTACGCCCGACAGCATCTCGCAATTTCTTGAGCAACAACTGTGCCACTTGAGGTTCTCGTGCTATAGTCCCGCTGGCCCACAAAGTTGGGAAACTGGGCCTGTCGCCCATTGAGCCTGGCTGCTCAGAAGGTCGACTATCACGTGCTCTTTGGTCGTGGTACGCGACGGGACCCACGCCGAAATCCAGGATAGATGCGCTTGGTGGGACCGACGATGCGCGATCGTCCCTGCAACGATAAGAAGAGGCCACACGAGCTCATTAGCCTATTTCTGGGCGGTAGCAAAATTGCAGGTGGAGTAAGGTGGGCGGAACGTAGCAGAAGTGTGGGGCAAAGATGCAGCAAGACACTTGTGGGTGATAGGCAACATCGCCCATGGGGACATTGCCCATGGGGACGGCCCAGGGCCACATTCCTTGGTGGTCAGGGAGCCGCGTGGCGCGGGCCCCCGAGCGGACGCCGCGTGTTGACGAACTCTCGAGGTCGCCGCTTCTACCCACATCAACGTGTCGCGGCAGGCCAACACTGCATGTATTCTTCCACTGTTGAATACCCGACTGCCCAGCTGTGTCAGCCCTATGGCAACACGACGTGTTTAGATTACCTAGGTACGAGCAGGCCTATGGGCTTGCGCCAACGCAGACATACCCCCGGCACGCTCGAGACCGAGTCGATCTCATTTCAGCCTCGTCCAAATAACAGCAGGCTATAAAAGTCCTTCAGCGGCAGGTAGATGCTATTCTGCCTTGTCTCAGCTCAGCCACCACCAAACCATGAAACAGCAGCAAGCCCTCCGTCGTTACTACAGCCGTGACAAGCTCCACAACTTCCTTAAAGGCAGATTTGGTGAGAACATCAATTTCAACATCCAACGAGCGGGAGATGAGTACTTAACCTTTGAGGCACCTGAGCTTTTGACTCCTGTAAGTCGTTTAGGAAGGCGCATACGCCTGTGCTGACACCGTTAGGATGAGTGGAGGTAATACGATGCACCTATCATCACTGTGACCGGTGAACACTAACGAAAGGCAATTTTGTAGGGAAGCGAAAGGCTGATGTGCTGTCCTTGTCAGCCTTCTCAGGCAATGCGGGGCCCCGTAGGATGACATTAGCTCATCTTGCATGTATAGCAAGCTAGAACGAAAGACATATCCGAGTGCGCGTTGAAGATAGTGTAACCGTCCATCCTGCTGCAACTCATCTTTCCGAAATGTCTCCTCATTTCCAGGAAGATGGCCGGAATACAGATAGTCTGCGTGCGCTCGCCTTGTCAGCATCACAGATACAAGCTCGCATCCTCGACTGTGACCATCTATTCTCGAAATACAGTGCCGATCATTTTCTCGAAGTGACTCGCTTCACATCTGGTACATCTCGAACTTCATCAGTTCATACCTTTACGACATCTTCCCAGCTGTCAGCTCATCTCAAGAATGGTGCAACACATATGGCCGGAGAGCGAAGTAATTTGGAGATATAGTGTGTGGGTTCCCTTCGTTTCAACCAGAGGCTAATTCGAATTCTAGTACGCTTCACCAGAAATACACATGGGCGCCCCTTAGCATTAGCCGCGATATGGTATCTCTTCTGAGAGATCATTATGACCTGAGCCCTGGTTTTCTAGAGATTCTAGTCTACTTCAAAGACCGATATTTACCGACGGAAGAGGGATACTCAGGCGCTTCGCAATCTCTCTTCACGGACGCCCGCTCTGGTATGGTATCGTTTCCTCAGACTCTCGGAGTGCGAGTGTAACAATCTTTAGAGTTTGGTTGGGTCTACAAATACTCGGAAAAGAAGGCCGACAGCACAGAAAACCCGTGGCGGATTCGGCACACCGGAATCTACCACCTTGCGGATCAGAAGCGGGCGAGATCAGTAGTCTTCATCATACATCCAAGCCCGTCCGCTCACTTCAGAGTTCACCTTCAACAGGTCTTACAACAGCCAAAAGTCAGACTTGCGGTGCTCTCAAACCCAATGCTGATCCACTCGATGCTGATATCTTCACATCTAAGCTCTTGGCGTGACTATCTTGAGCACCAGGAGACCCAGCTTTGGCAATTAGTGAGTGTTCTCATCTGTGATCACCAACCGTCGAGTATCTACTGATCGACGCGAAGGACATGAAACCAGCCTGTACATCACTCACGCAATCACTCGTCACGTTCGACACTCTCAAGGCACTTCGCGCTGTTGAGAAGAAGATCGTGCCCCTCGATCCCCTCCTTGCGTCGTTCGAAAAAGTACTAGATGATCTGCAAGAAGCCAGTAGTGTCCTCTCTGCAGCTGGCGAAGCAATGGGTGGCACTTCTGCCGTCCTGAAAGCGGCACTTACCCAGTTCCGCAGGGATGCTGCAGCATACAGAGGACAGGTTTTCTACATGAACAAACGGACCCAGTCTACTGCTCAGTCAATGCTGGATACCCTAAATCTGATTCAGAGTAAGAACACGTTTGACATGGGAAGATCAGCGCGAGAGGACTCAGTCGCCATCAGAGCGATTACGCTCGTCACTTCATTCTATCTTCCATTCTCATTCGTTGCTGTAAGTTCTCCAATTCTACTGTATGGACTGAACACAGCTAAAGACATATAGACCATGTTTGGGATGAACCTTGTCGACTTCGACACTGAGTCTCGCGATCTTGTTTTGTCGAAACAACTCTGGCTATATTTCGTGATATCAGTCCCTCTGACTGCTCTGACGCTGGCATGCTGGAAGTGGAGAATGCGACTGTATCGTGATAGCGATATGCATGGCGGAATAGGTTCGACGACATGCATCAAACCACTGAAGGGTAATTCAGATATCGAAATGGGTCAGTACTGAAATAGTAGGTCTCGTCCATCGCAACGACATACTGTGTAAAACATGGTTCATGCCGTCTCACCGATATGGCAACAAGGCGCGAAATAGACTTAAAGCGAACATCATGTACTGCCTGTCAATCGCAACGTGAACACACTGAGAACATAAGTCATCCGTGTCTATCGATGCTGAGTGCGGTGCTTCAATCATGAAACATCGCGATAGGTAGATAGCCATAGTATTACGATGTCGCAGAGCGACGAGTCGCCCACGTTGTCAGCAACACACTGTATCTTACACACGAAAGCGCTCTCGAATGAGAGATGTCGCAATTACCAGAGACGTGTATGCGACTTGCGACTTGCGAGAAGAAAGCGTAACATATCCCCTAAACCAAAGCACAAACTCAATGACTACATAGCTGGGCGAAGAGCAAGTTCTAGTCTGATTCAAACGCGCGCCCTCTTTTTCGTTGGCATCGGGCGCGCAAAAGGAAAACAAACCACCTGGGCACAGCCGACATTCCGTGGTTGCTGAGGGAGAACTGGGCTTGGCATGCATAGGCGCCAACTGTTATGGGCGCTTGGAGCCGCGTCCCCCTCGCCGCGTCTTTCGCACTCCATCGCGACAACATCATTTTCGATCATTCTCAGCTTATCCGACCAACAATTCCACTTAGATTATTTTCAATGATACGGGAGTCTCTCTCTCAATTACAAGCTACTGTAACCTTATTATCTGTCGATGTGCCCCTCACATCGGCGGCGGGTTTGATCGGTGAGGACTGGAGGACCTTTAATCGAAGCTGGAAAAGCGAACCTAACGCGGGCTCCCGAGGTCATCATGTCCCACAACAGCCAGGCTGTGTTCACTAACCCCCCATCTCTGACAGATGAACAGCTGGCAACGTCACTAGGGCCTATGAGAACGCCTCAAATTTCCAGGTTACGACGCTGCGTATTTGTCGCTCATGTGTGATAAAGAATGCTGGCATGTGGCACACGGCGCCTTGTTGCCTCCTTCCAGCCTGTGGTCTCTGGTAGGCTTTTGAGATAGGCCGCATACATATATGACGCGTTTCCAGGTACAAGCTGCGTTACCTTTTTCCACGTCTGTCGTTTTTCCTTGGGTGCTGCTCCACACTATCATCCGTTAGTACATGAAAACAATGGCCACGCCCACGGATACTGCCACTTCCCCGGTAGCGCTACCGTCTGTACACAGGCCTACGCTCGAAGAGAACCCCATGTATGCAAGCCTTACGATTCGTTACGATCGCCTCTGATAGTGCTCCGCAGTCCTTCAATCTACAATCCACTCAGTGGGGTTACGCGCATAGAAGCCGAACGATTTCACAAGAAATATGCATTACCGGTCGAGCGGGGTGTGTTCGTTCGCGGTGTCCTCGCGCTTCGATCGCAAGATGACATCAAAGCTGAATTTGAGAACATTCGAGATTCGCGTTCCGGAGCACCAGATGCATCCCCAAGACCCATCGAGTTGCGCGTCGGCGAGCAGAGATATACAAGGCTGGAAAGTAAGATTTTGTACAAGGCTTTCTTGCCACAGAGTAGGTGGGAAACGCTGAGAAGTCTTTCGAGGCTGCATCGGCTTTTGATCGTCGCTTGCATCTTTGCAGCGATGACCCAGTAAGTGCTGATGCTCAGCGCAAGCGGTTAGTGCCTGACATTTCTCCAGGGGTTGGGATCAAGCTGCTATGGCTGGTAAGACAAGTCGATAGCATTGGACACCTCACCTCATCTAACAATGTGAAGGAGCTGCTATCGAAGTAATGAATGACTTAGGTAAACCTACCACCGCAGGCCCCAGCTCTGGCGTCACGAGGCGGACGGACGGCGATCTTAATGTCGGCCTCGACCATAATGCCTGGCTGCTCGGAGTCACGGTCGGGGTACCGTTCTTCGCTGGCGCAGTACTAGGTTTAATCATTACCGACCCAATCACCAGAATCCTCCGCTTTGGCCGTCGAGGTGCTATATGCGCCGCGGGTATATTTAGCTTCATATCGGTTGTAGGCTCTGCTTCGGTTCACAAGTGGGAGCATCTTCTTGGGTTCAGAATCTTGTTGGGTGCCGGCATGGCAGGCAAAGCCTCAATCGTGCCTATCCTGCTTTCTGAAACCTCGCCCAAAGATGTACGCGGCTTTCTGCTGGTGTTCTGGCAGCTTTTCGTGGCATTTGGGCTAGCTGCCGGATCGGTTGCGAATATGGCCGTGTATCGCCTCGATGTGCATTCGAGCTGGCGATACATGTTCATCTCCGCATTCATTCCAGCATTAATATTACTATCATTGATCCTTTTCTCGCCTGGTAAGCGGCTCATGCACATCCATTTTCTTAATCCTTGAATGCTAATTTTTGCGCAGAATCACCTCGGTGGCTGTTGAAAGAAAGCGGCGCCTTGGGAAAACACTCGGAAGTCGACGAACCTTCGGAGAATCATCCTCAAAGGGGAGAGCTCATTCGGGCGGCCTACAACTCCCTTGTCGATCTCCGAGGCGAAGCTGTTCCCATACTTGCCGCTGGCGAACTGTTCATGATGCACACGCGACTGATCGACGAGCAGCGGCGACTAAAGGCAGCATTAGATCGTCGTTCATATACGTCCAGTGCGGCCGGTAGGACCACAAATGCAAGAAACCCTTTCTTCGAGGTCATTCAACATATCAGCTGGCGAGAGAGAGTCACGTTGATCTTTTTTCGCTCTGGTTATACGAAGAGAGCACATCGAGCTGCAATTGCTGTGATGGTCTCACAGCAATTGTGTGGCATTAACTTGATAGCTTTCATGGCCGATTACTTTTTCCGATACTCCTTCTTCCATGGCGACCGTCACACGAACCCGGACCAAAACATGCAGCTACTGGGCGCATCCCTTGGGCTGATGCTCCTCAACTTCATCGCTACAATCCCCGCCCTGTTCTATATTGACGATTCCGACGGACGCAGGCGACTGCTGAACTGCTCATTCCCAGCCATGGCATCATCATTGCTAGTCTCTGCTTTAGTTCTGAAGATTCCGAACCGAGTTGTAGCCATCGCTCTACACTATGTCTTCTTGGTCATATTCATGATCGCATATTCCATCGGGGAAGGTCCAGCCGCTTTCGTCATTTCAGCAGAAGTCTTTCCCCTCGTCAACCGAGAACTCGGCATGAGTCTCGCAGTGTGTTGGAACTTCATGGGAGCCGGAATTCTCGCCGTCTTCGCCCCGTCGCTGCTGAAAGCACTCGATCAATTCGGCGTACTCTTGTTGTTCGCAGGCACCAACCTTGTCGCATGGTTTCTTTGTTACTGGCTTGTTCCCAGTACCGGCCAAGAAAACCTGGAGGAAGTATTCGAGCAGCTTGACATCACCACGTGGTTCATGTTCAAATACACTTTGAAGGCGATATCACACGTACTCACAGCTCCAGTAGATCGCTGCTTGCGACGACCCTCTAAGCTTTTGAAAGAGTGTGGCTATCCGAAGAAACTCGGCCCGCCAAGACAGGAGTGGGAGGAGTGGAAGAGGCGAGCGCAACAATCGGGAGCCATTCTTGCTGATCCTGCGGACGTCTCCTCAGAGTCAAGCGCAGATGAGACCGATGTGCCGAGTGATACGGAGCCCGGTACTGGGATTGAACTGCTTCATATGGCAACGCGTCCCTCAAGATGACTTCATTGAATAAGCGCAGTATGGATTTCGGAAGCTGGAAGCAGCTTGTCGGCGATAAATCATTAGAGTACCAGCGATCAGTCGCAAATATTGAACCCCATAACAGGGGCTCCAAGGCCTATCAACTCGTTACTAGTATAAGTTTAGAATGTGTCTACTGATAACAATAAAATCACACTAAACTTCTTCACTACCATGCGACGCGACACCATGTTCGTGCTACAAGTATCGACAGACCAAGAAGCTCTCTCTAGCACATCTCGCTGCTGTCTTCCGTCCGGGTCGGGTATAACCTCAACTTACAACAGCGCCCCCTCCAGACCCTGGAGGTTATACGCACAGGAATGACTAGAGCGCTGGCGAACCTCAGACACCAAATACCCCAAGTCCGACCCTTAAGGTAATCTTCAAGCCACCGTCAATATCCTCCCTCTAGAATCCAACGCCCAATTAGTCTCGAAGCCCTCCTCATCCACAACCCGTTCCATCACCCAGAACCTCTCTTCCATTACATTTACCCTTCTCTGACCCAGCTCCTCCAACAACTCTAGAAGACGCTTATCCACTCCTCCCAGCCAAATCCGCACAGCCTCGCCTTCGACCCTCGCTCGTCTCGTCACCCACCAAAGCGTGCCATCCCGGCACGTGCTAAACCACCAGCCTAGCAGAAACACCGCTTTTGGATCTTTATGTTCGAGTAATTCGAGGAATTCGGGCGTGAGAAACGCGGTAAAGTATAAGAAATCCAACACGTTCGTATGCGATAGGCGTAGATGCTGGATGCGCGAGAGGATGAGGACGGGAAAGTGGTAAACGTTGTTCTCCTTGCTAGACTCTGCAGTGATACCGAACAACAGTCTAACCTTCTCAGGCACGAGACTGGTGTCGTTGCTCACCATCCACTCGGGTGGCGTAGGACACGGACCTGTCTTCTTCTTTAAAACACGGTTGAACACACTATCCTCCCTTGTCGGATCTGCGATACGCCACAGATGTCGTTTGCCTTCTCCGATCTTCATCCACGCCAGGTCACCCGGCTCGGAAGGCTTGAGCGGCCAGACGGCGTGGGGGTCGTCGGATTCGAGGTACCAGAAGGATGCCGCGCCGAGGTGGACGCCGGTGGCCCAGATTGCGTCGCGTTGGGATGGTGGGATTGGGCCGGAGAGGAGGCCTTGGTAGAGAGTTGTTGCGTGGGACCAGTGGCGGAGTGAGGCGTTTTGGAGAGAGATAGATTGGGCGGGAGAGTGGGCAAGAGCGGAGTCGTGCATTAAGGTTAGGCCGAGGATCATGTGCATTAGGAACGGATGCTAGACTGAAAGTTAGTTTGGACAGCTAGGAAGGAGATGGGGAGGAAGGTACGTTGAATGTAAGGCGGCATACTATGTCTCTGCATGCTGGGGCCATTCTCTCACCTATGTGGATTCGGTCAGTTCGAACGCACACTCAATAGCCTTCAATGCTGTACCATACCCCCAACAGTCAAAGACGTCCTACTCTGAAACCTCGCAAGGATCTCGAGATGACTCTCAGAAAACTCCCATGACGCATGTCCAGTTATCATGTGCGAACCGAGTTCCGACGCCCCGGATCGAAGAGAGTCTCCGATCATCGAAGTCACGACGCCGTTGATTGATATTGGGCTCCAAGGTGTGCGAGTCGTTTCTCTCGTCTCATGTTCCGCCGTGATTGTGGTTAGCCCCCCAAACTCAAACCTCCCCACGCCCTTCACATGCACATCCAACCCACCCTCCTTGCCCTCGAAGTCGCACGCCACACCATAAGTCATGCACTTTGCACACCGCGGCCTCGTCTCATCGCACTATCACCCGAACCATCAGCCCAACCAACCCAAATCATGCATGGAGCCAGAGGACACTAACCTTAACCCGTCTCAACTTGCAGTTCTGACACCCATTCCTCGATTTCGCATTCCAGCGGCGTTTCCTCACACCCTTTTCCGCTGACGAGACACTACGTTTGGATACGAGAGCAGGCATAGCGTCGATTCGATTTGAGCCCCGTTCTTGTTGTAGGTCCTACGAGGTATGCATCAAGCCTGTAAAGAGGGAGAACGTTGGAGGTGGGTAGACGCAGTCTAACCAAAGCTCGTATAAACCGTCCATGCCGCTGTTAAATATGCGTGTAAGACGGTATGAGATTAGGCAACAAGGCCGGATTCCGGGGTTTAGCTCCTTCGTCGTCGGGCGTAAGTGATGAGGTTGTGCTGCATACCAATGACCTCGCAAGGGTCCGTGAGATTCTGCGCTAAGAGCGCGGGTCTAACCCGCGTTCGTATACAGCCGTGATAGGCCGTTTTGATTGGCTGGCTGCGGTAGGAACGACAAAGATATGGTGCAAGGGTAACCGAACCTCCAAGACACAGCTATGTACAAAGGGGCGTAATATGCGCAAACTCCGAGGAGGAAGTAGACGGCTTTGGCGCGGGAAGAAGATGGATGGGTAAGCTGAAAGGATCGGGTTGGATGACATGGTGGGAAGCGTGCAGGCAAAGTAATCTGGTACAGATATAAGTACTCTCATTCTGGCTGGCAGAAGGGAAAGACCATTACACAAACCTCACTCCAAATTGTATCTCATACCAGCCTCTCGACTTTCAAGATAAAAACGATCCCTCATATCCAAACATGTCCGCCACTACCCTGCCCCAAACAATGAAAGCCCTCCTCCAAGAAGAGAAAAACGGCCCCCTCATCGCTAAGGAAATTCCGACACCCGCCCCCGGCCCCGGCTCCGTCGTCGTCAAAATCGTCGCAAACCTCCTGCAACACCAAACCCCGGGCATCCTCTCCGGCAAAGCGGGCTTCGCCTACCCCACCCCAATGATCCCCGGCGGACGAGCCATAGGACGAGTCGCAGCTACAGGCCCCGACACCACGTGTCTATCAGAAGGCCAACTCGTATTACTCGAGCCCTTCATCCGCGCCCGCGACGACGCCGATACTTGGATTTTCTGGGGAGCATTGGAAGGCACGAGTGAGGGGTCTAAGAAGCTTTTCGCGGATAACTGGCGTTATGCTACGTTTGCGGAGTATGTGAAGGCGCCATTGGAAGTCACATGGGCGCTGGATGAAAAGAGGCTCTGTGGGGAGTTAGGGTATACGATACCGGAGTTGGTGCAGTTGAGTGTTGATGTCGTGGCGTATAGTGGGCTCAAGGGGATTGGGTTGAGGCCTGGGGAGAGACTGGTCGTTACGCCTGCTACGGGGCTCTTTTCGGGTGCTGCTGTAGGCGTGGCGGTTGCGATGGGCGCGACTGTTTTGGTGACGGGACGGAATGAGCGAGCGTTGCAACGGCTGGCGGATGCGCATCCAAAGCTTGTTTCAAGCGTTCCGAGGACGAATGATCTCGATGTGGATGTTGAGAATCTGCAGAAGCATGGCACTATAGATGCGTTTCTCGAGTTCACGCCCACCGGGGCCGAGGGGAGTACGCATGTTCGTGCTGCTTTTCGCGCGCTCAAGCAGTATGGACGAGCGTGTATTATGGGCTTTGGTGGCGGCGCGATGAGGGATGTGGAGATCTCGATGTCGGAGGTAGTGTTCAAGAGTATTACGATCCATGGTCATGCCATGTACTGGGGTCAAGATGTGAAAGAGATGATCAAGATGGCTGAAGCAGGAGTGTTGAAGCTTGGAAAAGAAAGAGGTTTTGATTCGGTGACGGAGTTTAAGATGGACGACTTTGAGAAAGGCTTCGACTGGGTTGGCGAAAACCATGAGCTCGGCCAGACGGCGGTTTTAGTCCCGTGATGCAGCCGAAAGTGGAAGGTGCGATGGACCTTGAGGTGGTCACCTTCATAAATCAATGTTAGCATGTCACTGCGTCATATGCGATTCCTGGAACCAAAAGTCCTTGATTCCTAGTCGGATGAGTACCGACTGCCCGCTGTAGAGGAAGCCGGGGCCTGTTGCAGTCTGTTATAGCCCTATGCATCACCAGCTATCCTAAGTAAATTCCCACTCCAAGAAAATGCAGCAATCTGTCATGGTTCGTGAACGTTTCATGACCTCTTAACGCCGTGTGCCGACTTGAATATACCCTTCAACGATCGTTTTACAGTACGCCAGTCGCAGCTACGGCAGGCGGGTGTAGTCGTCGGGGAAGGAATGCCGGTCTTTTCCGCTAAAATCGAATCAGTCGTCGAGGTACGCGTATCGCCGCCGCGGCTCGAAGAGCTTCTGGAGATTACGCTATCGGTCTTGAGGCCCTCAGGAGTTTTGTCTTTACTTCGCTCGCGCGATGTCACCTGTTCCTGAGTCCTCGCGCACCCCTAGTCAATACCGTGTTGTTTTTTGAGCTTTTCTAAGTTCTCTTGGCGCTCGGCGAGATCATTCGCGGCCTTGAGCATCTTATCTGGCTGGTGATATAATACTGCTGCTGTTAGTGATTGCTGTGTCGGGGAAGCACTTGCCACATACCGACGAGATACCGATTCTGGAAGTTGAAGCCGTTGAGCTTGTCGCAAGCCGACTTTGCGTCCATTACGTCTTCATAGACGACGAAGGCGGTGCCCTTGGTGTTGTTGGCGATGCCCTGGCGAATTTGGCTGTGCTAGCATTAGCAACCTGAAGTGAAGGCAGGGCCCAAGATGCGCCAGCGCATGAGGAAGACGACGTACCGCACTGGGCCGAACTTGCCAAAGAGGTCGAAGAGTTCCTCTGGGGTGACGTTAAAGCTGGCGGAGGATTAGCGCGTGGCATATCAGATACCTTGGGCATCTACTGACCTCAGGTTCTTTACGAAAAGAGCTCTGTAGACATGAGATGTTAGCGCAGATGTCGTGTGAGAGGGTCGCATCGGCCTTGCGACTGGCACGCGATGCGGCCATGGCAGACATACCGGTTGACTTCCGGGGCCAATTTTCCTCCTCGACTCATACTTTGGCGACTGTGATGGACGATAAAGGACGGGCTGCGGGGATTGTAATGGGAGGCGGGTGGTGGGGAGGTTGTAGTGAGAGTTGGAGTTGGTGAACATGCGGGATCAATCGTGGATGGCGTGCACGTCCGAGCGCCGAGCTGCATCACGTGGCGGACGCATACCAAGAACAGCGACTCATGCAGCACCGAGATGACGATGCACATGCGCCGCAAACGAGAGGCTGTGAAATCGGAAATTTAGCATCTAGTGATTATGACCATTTACAGAGATATAGATGTCTCACAGAAAGGTGATATGGTGATGGGTGCACTCCTTGCCGTATAATCGAGCGCTCGAATCGGAGACGCGGACTTGCAGCGAATGAAGCGGCTTGTCTCCTCCCCAGAGCTTTTGCGACGGTCCAACCATCTGCACATCACAGACACATGCGCTTAGAGCTCTCTGTGAAGCTGCCGCATCTTCGCCTGCCTATCGCGCCCTGAGTGTGTCGTCGGCGCTGGCGTGGCCGAGTCGTGGTTGGATTGTGCTGCTCGTGGTCGCAACATTCCCAATACAATCCCCGCCGACTTCTCCACCACCATCATTCTACTCTCAAACCTCCCCCTACGCTCGTTCATTCGCGACCGCGCCCACAGTCGCCTCGCCGCAGGACATGCCCATGCCCGGCTGCTACTACTCCGCCCGTCTCTCCACTGATAGTGCCGCCGCTCCATAGCGCATCTGTCTGAGACACCAAACCGGCGAGTACCTCGCACCTCCGAAGCCCCAGTCCATCCACCTCCGCACCCACGACCACCATGAGGCGCCTCTCGTCCTTCAAGGAGCAGTACAGGCGAGCTTCGGCGCGCGCCCCTACACCTCCGCCGCCCGTTTACGAGCCGCTGTCACCCATCCTGCCGCCCACGGAGCCCTCGACAGCGCACCCCGCCGGCAATGCGAATATCCCAACCGCGTCGCTATCAGGCACAAGGCATATCAATGAGGCTTCGCACAATGCTTTCACCTTCAGAGAGGGCGCGCGCGCGTCTGGGGAGCAGTCGTCGCCGGTGGTGACGTACGGGCACTCGTCGCGCTCCGCACCTCCGCCGCCGCAGTATTCTCTGGCCCAGGCATCGCCCATTGAGGCCCTCGCAGATGTCGCTATCACCAGGCAGCACACAAACCCGCCCTACGCTGACTTTTCGCGCCATGCTTCACACCTGGCGACGTCGCCGGCGACCCACCCTTACCCGATCGGCGAACGCGCCCCCATACACGCCTCCCCTAGGGACCCCATATATTCCTACGACGAGAGACCTGCAAAGAGAGCGCGCTCTGAGGTGTACGGCTCTCCACAGTATGGGCAGTCTCAGTCGAGACCGGCTACAAGCCATATTCCGGGCTGGTCCTACAGTGTCGAGCACATGGCCGACGGCGGTAATGGCATGCATCAGATCAGCGCCGTACCTGATGACCGACGTGCTGAAGCCGAGCTGCTACTGGATTTCTTCAAGGCATCTACAACACAACTTGCGCAGTCTCCGCCCTCGACAGCAAAGCGGTTGGCCTTTTCACAATCAGCGCCGGCCGAGCATCCTTCACAACCTTTACAACAATCGCAACCAGTACAACAAACACAACATAAGCAAGCGCCCGAAAATCCTTTTCTAGCGCCTCTGCCGCCACCACCGTCATCCGACCACTACAGCCAGCCTACGCAGGCACCCGTCGACCTGAAACACCCTTTAGACGCACCCTCCGACATAGCCCAGACCGCCTCAGCTGCGCAAACACATACACCGCCTGAGGAAGCTCTTACTGTTGTCACACAGCCTGAGATGCAAGATGCCGTTCCGCCAGAAGAGCCAAAGGCGAAAAAAGGACAGGGCTTGCCGAAAGGAAAGGCGCGCGCATCTCGTAGCACCCCCTCGGCCAGTAGCAGACGGAAGAAGTCGACACCCAAGCCTAAAAGTGCACCGTCTACAAGTACTCCTGGAGCCCCGGATCAACTTCAGTCGCCGCTGAGTTTGCCCGCCGATCAATCTGCTGCGGTCCCAACGGATAGCTCCATTCTTACGACACGTCTAGCTGAACCAGCCCAAACCTCGCCCTCGCAAGCACGTCGTCACTCCTTCTCAACAACAGCTCCAGGAATAGCAGGCGACCAACCGCTCTCGACTTGCTCACGAGCCAAATCACTACCTCTTGGGTCGCAAACAGTCGCCCCTGCTCTTACTGCTACTGTCGCGCAGCCTGCGCCCGCTCCAGTCGAGCCAGAACTTATTTGCGCCCATTGCAAATCGTCCGAATCACCCACCAAAATTGGCGACGGCGAACAATGGATCGGCTGCGATGGCTGCAAAGAGTGGTATCACTACCCTTGCGCTGGCTTCAACAGCGAACGGGAGGTACGGGAGGTAAACAAATTCTACTGCGAACCGTGTAGACCCAAGTTTGGTGAAACAACGAGTAGGTCTACCGACGCACATTGGGCTTATAGTTCTAACATGGTCCAGAGGTTCGTAAATCCGTCAGAGCCCACACAACTGTTGACTACGCTGGTCTAAATGAGGGCGTTCTCAAGACCTCTGACGACAACCCGGAGCACCACTATATTTCAGCATTCAAGAATGGCGATATCGAGTTTACCCCCGAGACCTTTGCGCGTGTGCCAGCCCAACTCATCACCGGCGACTTCCTCGAGAAGATGAACGGGTTCAAAGAGCCAATTGTGATCCCTGGCGCCATGAACCTTTCGGTGTTGTCAACGGAGGAAGACGTTATCATGGAAAACACTGAGGGACAAGGAGACGGGTCAGGATCACAAGTTGGATACGACACAGTCGCCGACGACGGTCAAGACAGTTTGGATATGGTCATACCCAAAGGCCTGACGGTTCGCCGCGTGGCAGAACTTTACGGCCCAAACGAACCCGTACCCGTAATCGACGTCAAAGCGCAAGAAGGCGAAGGCAAGAAGTGGACTATGGGAAAGTGGGCTGACTACTACGAGCAACAAGGAGAAAAGCCTGTACGGAATGTCATCAGTCTAGAGGTGTCTCGAAGCAGGCTCGGAAAGCTCATACGACGGCCCAAGGCTGTTCGAGATATGGACCTACAAGACTCCGTGTGGCGAGAAGATGATAAGTCTGCGCCGCCTCCGGTGCAGTTCTACTGCCTTATGTCTGTCGCGGACTGCTTCACCGACTTCCACATCGACTTTGGCGGCTCTTCTGTCTACTACCACATCGTCAAGGGAAAGAAAGTCTTCTTCTTCATCCCACCAACAAAGCAAAACCTCAAAAAATACGAAGACTGGTGTCTTTCTCCAAATCAAGGACACGACTGGCTCGGCAAACAGGTCAAAGAATGCTACCGAGTGGACTTGTATCCCGGAGATACTATGCTGATTCCCTCTGGCTGGATTCACGCTGTCTGGACTCCCGAGGACAGTCTCGTCATCGGCGGTAACTTCCTCACCCGCATACATTACGGCATGCAAATCAAGATTTTGGAAATCGAGAAGAATACCAAGGTGGCTTTGCAGTTTCGATATCCTTTCTTCCAGAAGATCATGTGGTTGACTGCCATCAAATATCTGGAAGAAGATCCAATTCCTGGTCCAGTTCAAGAGCTTCTGCAGAGCGGCGAGCAGTTCACACGGGACACACCCATCTACTGCGAGCCAGACAGGTTCGGTCACAACTCGCACCTGGGCGCACAGAACTACAACAAACGATACTACTCCAAGCACGAACTTGAAGGACTGAGCGATCTTTTGAACTACATTTGGAGAACTGTCCTGATCACCGAAGGAAAAATTGATGTGCCTCAAAAGACCCGAAGTGCTGTCAATAAGTCGATCCCCAAGGGCCATGGCGAGCCGCTTATGTTAGCCCGACGCTTTGCAATGTGGATCGCATGGAAACGCGGGAACGAGACCATACCATCTTGGGCCTTCTCCGATGCTGTTCTTCCTGAAGTGATGGAGACCACAGAGAAGAAGCTCAGTGCTGCTCAGGTTAAGAGACTGGAGCGTGAGACGCTCCATGAAGCCTTACGAGCAACGGCAGAGAGGTCTTCGGCACGCATCAAAGCCTCAGATGTGGTTCCCGAGCCTTCACCGCCTGTCGAAGTGGAGAACTACAGCAACTTCGACATGGTGCCTGTGACGTCCGGACCATTGACTGGTTTCCTACGACCGTCGGCAAATAACCCGCACATCACCACGCCCAAAACCTCTCAGCTCGGACCCAAACGTGTTGCATGCGATGCATGTAGGAAGCGCCGTATCCGATGCAAACACAAAGACGAACTTATCGATACATCGAAACCGGGCATGCACACCATCGACCTCTCTGGCTCATATGGCATATCTGTCAAACGCCGGCTTAGCGATCACTCTGTTGCAGATAGCTTGTCAAACGCCGCCAATGGGCCAGTGAATGGCGGCCCAATCATGGCTGATGTGAACGGCGACCCTTATGCACTCAAGTCCGGCAGAGTCAAGGCTTGTGCCGACTGTAGGAAGAGCAAACGTCGATGCATACACGATGAATATGGCAACGTTGATCCTGTCAAGGCCAACGAGATCCCCATTCCGCGGGGTTCGGCGTCAAAGAAACGAAGGGTCAGCGACGAGGACTCAGGATCAGCCGCAAAGCGGATGAGACACGAATCTTCATATGATGACGAATATCTGAATGGCGATATGCACGCGCGCCACTCTCTCCCAAATCAATTTAGTGGCGGTTCGTCTTTCCTCCAGGAGATGGCGTATTCCGCCCAGCAAGCGCTTGATCAGAGCCCGGAGAATGACGATCTAGTGCCAGTTGATCCTGCCCTACAAGCATATACGAACGGCGACTACAATCATGACGCGGCGAACTCGTACCACGGAAACGGCGATACGGTCATGTCGTCTGTCGAGTATCAGCCAACCGACCCGATGCTCATGGATGGAATGGAAGCTACTGGACATAACGACGAGGTCCACGGTCCTAGCATAGAGCCGCTCACGCCTGGCCCACCACCACACAACGATACTGTGCATACGCACACCAACGGCTTCGCGTCAAAGCCCGGACTAGAACACCACGCCGTACGCAACCCATCATCGCCCGTCTCGCCCAGACACGTGTCCGCTGCATCACCTCCGGCAACCACCAATCACATTTACAACCCATACATAACCTCTCCGGCCACAAATACCTACAACAACTTCACCACGAACTCCGACTTCCCTCCCCCACCCGTCACGCCCACACTCAACAATTCATACAAAGCCCGCACCCAGAACTCGTCAAGCCGCAAAGCCAGTCAAACGCCCTCCCGCGCTGGCCGCAACAGCAAAACACCCAAATCCACGCCCAGCAAACGGCAAGAAAACGGCAATGGCAACGGCATCAAATTGGAACATGGGATGAGTATGGGAACCGGTATGGGCATCGGCGTTGGGATGAATGGAGGTATGAACGTCCCCATGGGCAGCATGCTCAACATGATCGATCCCAACCTCGACCAAGCGAGTTTCGATCTGATCAAGCAGTTGCAACAAGAGGATTTGGGGCTACGGAGACGGAGTCGTTGAGCACATCGTACCACACCCTTTCTCCTTGCACACTCACCATCGTTGGAGACAGTTTTCTTTCTTTGAGTCGTCCTTCTTCACTTTCCCGTCTTTTCCTATCTGCATTCATTTGGGGGGTCGGCGTTAACAACATTGTCCACGCACTGGGCGGCGGACACAGGGGACTTGCGCGGCGTTACTACTTCCTTGTCAGGAGGTCTTTGCTTATACCCAACTATTCGGCACTGGGATAGTGTACATTGCACGTCATTTTCTTTCTGATACTTCTGTTACGTTGTCAATGGAGGGAGGAGGGATGGAGAGAGTCAAGGCGTTTTGACACTCAGTCAGCCAGCATGGACTGCGGCTCTTTCCTTTTTCAATTGTTTGCTATTGAGGGTTTCATGCATAGTATCGTAGATAATAGTGACTAGTCGCGTACGATTTGGCAATGCAAATGCAAACCTGTTCACAAAACGGTTTCTTTGTGCGTTGTTGGCTTTCTGATGAGAAATGTTGTGATGTTCCGTTATTTCATTGGGCATGTCTAAGTCGTGATTTGGGTCAGCCTGCTACACTGCAGCATTCATAATCTGCCATCTACCTCACTTCCACCGGCGGACCTCAGGCTTCTACCCCAGACCCATAGCTACCACGCTACTCCAATGCACTAGTAACATTCGAGAACTCGCCCTTCTTCAGCTTCGTCTCCCAGAAAATCGGATTCGTATCATTGAAGCCGTGCTTGACCCAGCCGTCCTCCTTGACATGGTACAAGTTGATGAAACCACCGGAGTACGCATCGCGATGGGTGGCAGCGAGGATACTCCTCCTGCCCAGCTCGAGCGCCTCGTCATCTTCCAGCTCGTACTTGTACTGTGCATCGAGCACACCGTAGGCGAAAGTCTGTCCGGAACCGACACAGAAGAGGTTGCCGGCCAGGCGCGTGCCGTCGCTGTCGATGTAGTAGAGGGCGGGGCCTTCTTGGGGGGTTACGCCTGCGCACATTGTTCCCTGGGGAGGGGGTTAGATGAGAAAGGCAGGGATATGGGGGGAAGGCAGAAGACGTACCATACTCAGACCCATGCCCTTGTATGAGTAGACGAGATTGGCGAGGATCTTGGAGGCTGCCGCGACGGAGATACGGCGCTTGTGGCGGAGCTCGTGGAGGCGACATTGCATTCCGAGGTATGCGAGCCAGTATTGGCAGTCCTATCGCATGTCAATACCCAGTCCTGCACACTAACTCTTCCCCGGTATTGTCCGTGTACGTACAGCAGCGCCACCAGCCATAGTTCCCAACAAGCAGTTGTTGATCTCGATGACCTTCTTGACTGTCTGACTAGCTATCCAGTTTCCAGCCGTCGCACGCGAATCGGTAGCTACGATGATGCCACCCTTGAAGCGGAAGGCGAGGGTTGTGGTTCCGTGGGCGATCTTGATGGGGCAGTTGGGGTTGGAGTAGTCGTCCGTCATTGCGCGGAGCCATGATGCTGACTATAATACTATCAGTAAATTCGACTCCTCATAAGTTGTAGTAAAGGAAGAACGCACCTGGGCTACTGGTGGTAGGGCAAACTTGAGAGATAGCTCTGGGGTGCCGCTGTAGAGCTGCAACTGCTCCTCCTCGGACGGGCCTTCCTCTGTATACGCCGGGCGGCTGTACTGCGATACTAATGAATCCATGATTGCGACGGTGTGTATTGGCGGGATTCAAAGGGTATCGGAAACGTGATCGAGTGGTTGGGGTGGGGTTGTTTGATTGTTTGACGTGGTGATGTGAGCTCGAAGCTCCGGCGTTGTCGGTAATGCCAAGACATAGCCGCGTCTAGCTGTTGCCTTCACCAGTCCAGTGGATGAGCACCGATGAACTACAATACAACCTGCGCATCTTCTAGTTCTCCTTGCGCGCAGGCATACTAGCTAACATGCACTAGCGCTTGCTCTGGTTTCTGCTATTTCCAGGTTCCTATCTCTAGTATTGATTCCGCGGTCATCGCCACTCACACAGGAGCAGCAATGCTCAGTACCGCGCGTCTGGTCTGCTCGATCATCACTTATCGCAATAGCATCTACTCACTTGACTAAAGAGAAGGGAAATGCTTGGTTCATTAGGCATGAAGTCTTTCAGGAAGTGCAGGTAGTCCTGCAGGCTATCGCGTTGCACACAGCAAAGGGCAGATGTGGCGCAGACGCATCGCAAGAGAGGTAAATGCCATCGGGGGGACTAATGTACGACCTTAGTATATTGCGGCATACGTCATCAGATCCTACAAGTTCCCGCATCGTGCAAGTCAGGAACGGGCGCTGGGGCTCAAGCGTCACATGCCACTCGTTGAGACTTGAGGTCAGGCAAGACATGGCGCCGACCCACGCGCGCATCTCGCACCCATGTCAGCCTCAGTCACTCGCCCAGCGGACTTGAACACATGTTTGCATTGCCTATATGCAGGCACCAGCAACAATCATGCAGGCACCGTTTTCACTCACTCTGTTTCATTTGTCCTCTCACGTATAAGCATACGTGCGGCCCGCGTGCATGTCCGGCGCAGCGTGCGTGATAGTAGCAAATGATCGTCGAGGGCAACAGTATATACATAGGTGGACGCCATCATGAGAAGGAGTGCGAAAGGATCTGATCATATGTACATTGTGTGTCAGTCATAGGATAAAGTACCTCCTGCACCCCATTGTCTGCTCTTCTTTCAAGTCTTCTGAATGCCCCGTTACGACACTACACCTTATTCGTACTATCAACCTTCGAGACCACCTTCAACTTACACCCCGTCCTTTTCTCACACTGCTTACCATCGTATTGCCCCGCCCACACGACTTCACCCCTTGCCCGCGCGCATCGACTCCGGCGTTGATCTCTCCTCGCCGCGCAACAGAAATGTGCTGGTTCACCCTTACACCGGCCAAAGGCAAAAAGCAACAGCGCCCCTCTACCGACTCTTCATGTGCGGAGGAACTCGTTCGCGTTCGCCGTAGCCCGGCATCCCCGCGGTTCAGCGACGTCCGCGTCAGAGTACCGAGTATGAGCCTCGAGGTGGAGGAAGGGGGTGGTCGCGATCACGTGCACTTCGACGCGCACCTGAATCACCACCACAGACATCCGCATCTACATCCACTACTCATGCATCCAATACATGGCCATAGCCACCACCACCACCACGACGGACTCGGCATAGTCGACATCCAGGAAGGCCACCTCCGCGGCTCCGGCAGGAAACGCACCGTTTCATCTCCTTGCCCCCCACCACCCACCCGCGAACCATCACGTTGTCCACCACCGTCCCGCCCCCGCGAACCCACCTATCACACCCAGATCGTCGAGCCTAGGGTATCAACAACGACAGTCCGAGAGAACACTCGCGCAGCCCTCCGCAATGTCCAACAAGAGCGAACACGAGGTACTTTGCGTAGAGTAGCCGGTTACGAAGCCTTGAGCAAGAGCATGCCGTGGGATTGGGATTGCTTGAGTAGTACTGTGGGGAGTAGTGCGAGTGGTGGTGGTGGTGGGAGGTGGATGAGGAAGAGGAAACCGAGTGGGTTGAAGTATCCGCCGTTTGGGAGTATGGAACGTTGGCTTTGACGCTTTTTCTTATGTATGGGTTCTTTACTGGAGTTTGAGGTTGGATCGAGTGGCTTTGGTTACCATCATATGTTATATACCCTCTATTTCATACCCTTTTCTCGATATCGACTGGCCATGAATGCGGGACAGCTGTGAAGTAGGCCTTCCATTGCCAGTCTTGCGTTGCGTCCACTTGCTTGATCTTGTAGTCTCTGACCAAAGTTGCTACGATCTTCGCGAGTTCGATCTTAGCGATGTTTTGGCCTGGACAGCCGCCATAACCTGCACCAAACTACGCAGATCAGTCAGCATGTACACAAAGATGTTGTTGTGCAATAAGTATGGAGACAGAGGTCACTTACAGGTATCCAGTACTTCTCCTTCGTAGCGCTGTCTTCCTTCAACCAGCGATCGGGGTTGAAAATGTGCGCATCGGCTCCCCATATCTCCTTCGAGTAGTGCATCACCCATGCTGTAGTTCGAGATGGCAAAGTCAGCCCAGCCTCCAGAAAATTTCTATGGAAACTGTCGACTCACGGTTAATTGACACAATAGTACGCTCGGGTATAGTGCGATCGCCAATAGTCAAGCCTCCCTTGGGCGCTATGCGTGGAAGGCCCATGGGCACTGGACCGAAGATGCGAAGCGCTTCTTTCACACAGGCTTGCACGAAGCTATTCAAAGTCAGTTTGTATAGCCTTCCGAGGCGATGCGAGGGGGCTGTCTCCTCACCTAAGCTGCTGTGCATCAGCATAAGACACCACTCTCCCCCCACACAACCCCTTCTCCACTGCCTTCACAACCTCCTCATGCGCGCGCTCCCACGCATCAGAATGACGAATCATATGATAAATAAAAGACTGTATACCCGCCGCAACAGTATCCGACCCCGCACCCACAGCTGCAAGCGCCTGTGTATTGATTTCCCGAATGGTAAACTTATCCGGATGTCGCTCATGCTGCTTGAACCAGTACTGAACGGCATCATACCTCACATTCTCATTCTTCTCCCGATCCGCCAACACAGACGTAACAGTGTCGAAGAGATGGCCCACTGGTAGTATCGAAAGCCACGTCATGACCGGATTGGCCAACAGCGCGATGTTGATCCAGCGGAAGTAGCCGGCGACGGCGATGTATGCGTTCAGCGCGAGGGAATTTGAGATCGAGTTACCGATGTCTTTGCCTTGGGCAAGGAAGCCGAAAGGTTTGGAGAAGACGATTTCGCCGATTACGTCGAAGGTTAAGTAGGAGATGTATATGTTGAGATCCATGGGTTTCTTATCGGAAGCAAACTTGTCCATCCAACCGAAGAATGTCTCAAAAGTGCGATCGATGTGCTCTTCGGACCGGAGAAGGTTGGAGACGGTGTATGCCGCGGCGATGTATTTTGACTTTTCGATCTTTTTCTTGGGGTCTGTGGTACTCATGGGTGATTGGAAGCGATAGTCTGGTAAAGCATGGATTTTGTACCAGTTTGCCTTGTACTGATGTTAGTCGCTTAGTAGATCGGTGTGTCTTTCGAAGTAGTACCTTGTGTAGAGGAGCTACGAGGATCTTCGCAATGGCATCTGGATGGCTAACGCTGACTTCGTCGTATGAGATACGAACGAAGTGACCTGGGGAAATTGTGAGCAGAACATCAATAACAAGAGTTTTATAAAGCTTGTGTACCTACCATGCCTTTCATGCAAGTGTACGAGTCTGAGGTTCTGATCACCTTCCAGAATGCGATGCATATGCCAAAGACGAGTAAAAGAAGCAGCAAATGGTCCCGGTATGTCGCTGATTGCGGAGGAGTACCGACGCCATGTAAACAGAGTCAAGAGACTGATGCCTACAATTGACGTGAGCAAAAGCCAGTCCATTTTGATCCAGTCGAGATGACCGACCTCGACATGAGCTTGATCTGCATAGTGGGAGGATATGCGGCGTGGCACATGAGTGGGATGGAAGTCTTGGATTTGAGACTTGAATGTTTCTGGAGTAGCGGGATGCAGGTTTAACCCAATCGGGCTTTTAGCGACATGGAGTTCGGGGTGGCATAAATTGCGGACTGTTAGCGCGGGTGAGGACAGGATCCTGAAGTTTTCCCTTTGATACGCGGCTTATTACACTACAATACTGAGTATTACAAGACTGAATCGCTATGCCGAGCTAAGTATACTAAGTATCAGCCTAGCTCTAGCGTAACCCCTCGGATGTATGTGTCACAGCCGCTACAATCTCGGTGTATGTCGCACATCCAGTTCAGTCGTCACAATGATCGAGTTCTGCCGAGAAGACTTTACAGAGTTGGAATGTGACTCCCCAAATCCGAAAACCAGTGGACCTGGTTGTTTGTGTATGCCTTCCACGAGCTCCACTTGTGACTCGTTGCCAGTCAGTCCTTGTTCTAGCCTCGTAATAGTTCCCATGGAAGCGCGCTTGTTCCAGAGTTCTCGGCGCATCGACGAGAGACGGTATGGCTTCTCCTTCGATCGCTCATAACTGCCTGCAGAGCTGTATTTGCCTCTGACCTTCCTCCACAGTGCTTTCATTGCGGGTAAATTCGCCGCAACGATCGCACATTGGACCTCGAATGATGCCACAATTATCATCTTCCCCGCGTCTATTGATAGGTCTGTCTTCATCGAGGATACCGATATGAGAACGGGTAGGCGGAGTATTGCGACTGTGACGGAGATGATACCGAAGGCGAGCACGGAGATGACGGTGACTTTGCGACGTAGGTTCATTCGGAGGGTCAAAACGGAGGGTATCGGGAGACAGATAATGTAGAGGTCCATGAAGATGTTCTAAGGGCACCGTTGATTAGTATGTGCACAGAGTGCGGTGGTTGGGTGTAGATAGTCGATACGTACAAGAATAGGCGGAGTGAGCATCATGACACGCATATCGATGCATGTAACCTCGGGATGCAACATGGGGTTGAGGATCTTCTCAAATGGTATACATTGTAGGACTGTCATGAGCCTAGATGCTGTCAGCCTGCGGCCGTATGAACTGCGGATACCATTCAACTTACAAGCTGGAGAGGAAAACCGAAAACGCAAGCGCGAATCCAAGATATACGAAGCCGCGGAACATCTGGCCAACAGAAAGCCGGAGATAGAACAAGAGAAACGTTATCTTGATGACGGAGTGTGCGCCATAAATCACGATTTCTTCGATAAATGATGTCTGCGTGCTTTCTTAGTCCTTTTATCTCTTACGATAACGCTGGTGAAGAACTCACCCGAAGAAGATCGAGGGATTGGAAACTGCAATTCACATTGCCAGGTCTATTGGAGTCGATGGTAAGTCTTCGCAAAATCTCAGAAGAGTACCCCCAAACTTACTTGCCACAGCCCAGGTTCAGAAACAGCTGTAGAACAACTTGATGAACAATACTGACGACCTGAGAGAATGAGCAACTGTGGAGACTTTGCAAAGCTGGCCAAGTTTTACCATCACCAAACATGAAGCTGTGTCATCCCAACCCCATGATTTCAAAACTAGTCCGCGAGAGTAGAAACGCGCGATGGACGACAATAAGCCAATTGCGAACGTGGTATAGGCAACAACATACGCCCACTCAAAGAGACTGAGCACCATATTGAAGATGCAGAGTTCGGAGACCCTGCTGGAGGAGAAGGATAAACATGTAACTTCACAAAGTGGAAACGAAAGGGGTGCATCTCAGGTACAACTCCGCGAAGATCAAGACTCCACCTTACACGATGCCGAAAAGAGCGTCCACGCATCGACACGATGAAAAAATCTTGATCGCATCTCATCTGGCACGCTGATTTGCCTGGCAGGAAGCCGATGCGCGCCACGGCATGACATGCGGCGCAATTAAATCTGGATCTGGTGAAGCCATGTGTATCGCAGCTCATCTCAGGGGATACAGACGTTGATCTCAAGACGTTACGGCGGCAATCTGGATGGCGTGTGTGCTCGGGACGCGAAGAGGTTCAGGCTCAGGAGCGTCGATGAGGCCTCGACCCGGTGACGAGCTATCTAACGGTCCTGCCGCCTTGGCGACGTACACGTACCAAATGATACTATCGTCGGGTAAATTGTTCATAATCGCAAATTGAGCGTATTTTGGGGGTTTGGGATGTTCGCAGGAGAGTGAGAGGTGTTCAGGGTGAGATCAATCCAAGAGGGTGTCCTGTAGACTAGTGAGGTGTGGCTAGTCAGGAAAGGGTCCAAGCACCAGTGAGCAATGACTAGGAAGGCACGTCATCGTAACGCATTGGCATCAACCACAAAATAACAGCAACAACGGATGAAGGGGTAGAAAGATCGGAAAAAATAATCACTAGAGTGAGAGCGATCATCGCCCAGAAGACTAGATTACGGATCCAAATCCCAACTACTCCAATTACACATCCTTCACAAACCCAACCTCAATAACCTTATCCATAGGAACGTCCAAGCTCGCAATCTTCGCTCTTGAGTTATCACGGATGAACAAGAAAGCCTTCAAGAAGAATCGTCGAACGATGTTCGTACCGACCTTGACCTTCATCTGCTCTTTGCCAATAATATACAGCACCTCGTGGTTGTACGCACGCTCAAGGGCTTCCAGACGAGCGGAAGTAGTTGAACTGCGTGTAGGAGTCGATATGCCACTCCCAGCAACAGTCTCGGTAACCATGGTCTTCTCCGGCTGGGCGCCGGTAGCCTTGGCAGATATCTCGCCATCGCGTTCCAAGGCCCGTGCGACGATGTGGTTGCGGACTTTCTCGTAGATCAGCGATGCTAGATCTGGGGTGATGACTTCGTCCATGTAGCCATGGCGAACGACTAGGCGGTAACAGTTGGGGACGGCAAGTCGCGAGACACTGTATCGATTCTCCGGAGCAACGAAGGGTACCTCTAGTGGCCGAAGGTGGAAGAAGACAATGACCTCCGGGATGGTGACTAGTTTGCGAATGAACTGACTAAAGACGATAGGAGTTGTCTCGCCAGCTTTGTCGAAAAAGATGCCGAAGCCTTCCATGGTTCCAACAGACTTGCTCCCATATTTCTCGGTCAGTTCCAGGCGGCCGTCTGGCAAGGTCTTTACAAAGTGCGTTGTTGGGAAGCGATCACTGGCTTCCGCGCCCCATTGTTGCTCTTTGCCAAATCGCCAAAGGATGAATATGGATCCGAGGAGGCAGGCGAGGAGAATAGTGAACCAAGCGCCGTCTGGTACTTTGGTAAGTGCCGATGACAGGTAGGCACCATCCAGACAAGCGATGGTGAGCCAGGGAAGAAGTACAAAGTATGGCTTGATGCGCCACACTAGGATTGCAACGAGAGTAACCATGCATGTGTCGAAGAATGTGACGAACATGACGCATACGCCGTAGGCGTTACCCAAAGAGGTTGTGTTGTTGTAGATGGCAGCGACAAGTACAGTTCCGATCATCAGCAGCCAGTTAATGCTAGGGATATACAGCTGTCCGTGATATGTAGTCGAAGTATGCACGACCTTGATCTGTGGGAAGTACGAAAGCTTCATGATCTGGGTCAGGAGCTGGAATGTGGCGGTGATCATGGCCTGCGACGCGACGATGGCAGCAGCAATGGCTACAATGAGCGAGAAAATGAGCCATCCCGGTGGGGCGCAGTTGTAGAAGGGGTTGGAGTATGCCTCCGGATGCACGCTGATGTAGGCAGCTTGGCCACTGTAGGCAAGCAATAGACACGGGTAGGCGTATCCAAGCCAACTGATCTGTACAGCACGGCGACTGAAGGCACCGATATCTGCGAACAGAGCTTCAACGCCTGTAAAAGCAAGAAGGATACCGCCGAGACTACGCCAGCCTTCGTATTTGTTTCGTATCAGATAGTCGAATGCGTAGAAGGGGTTGAAGGCTTTTAAGATCGCATAGTCATACCTATAGCTGTCAGTCAAGAGCATGTGGGACGTAGCAAGAATACGTACTTGGCAAGGTTGTATATTCCGAACCCAGCATTTAAGGCCAGCCATACAATGACAATGGGCGAAAAGATGAATGTCAGTTTCGTGATACCAAGTGGTTGCACGCAGAAAAGCAGGACAAGGATGGCGCATGTGACGCCGATGATGGTAGACTTCTCGATATCAGGCTTCACAACGTTGAGACCTTGCACGGCACCCAAGACGGATTGAGCTGGAGTCAAAACACCATCAGCCATGACCATCGACACAGCCAGTACACCGATGACCTGCAGTAGACCGCGGAAGAACTTGGACTTCTCGATGGTTGAGCGAATATTCCTTGTGGATCGGCCCAGAGTATCGGTATTATGTCTCTCCATCCCTGCATGAAAGTCAGTATAGGAAGACCTAGGGCAGGATGCACACTCACGTATTAGGGTTGCTTCGCGTGGATCTCTGTTCGCGATATTTGCCTGCATACATTAGTGACTGAAGATCTCACACAGGTCATTGGACGTACATATTTGGATAGAAGAGAGTACGTGCTGAAAGTCCCGCCCTCTCCATCGTTGTCGGCGCGGAGGATGATCAAGACGTACTTGACGGTGACCATCAAGGTGACAGACCATAGTATGAGTGACAGGGCACCGAGCAGATTGATGCGACTAGGCGCCTCTGTGAAAGTCGAAGAATAGACATAGAGCGGCGATGTTCCAATGTCGCCATAGATGACACCGGTAGATTGGTATGCAAGGACGAGGATCTGTGTCAGACTGAAGACCTGCGTCGCGTCAGTGAGCTGGATCACACCGCGCCATGTGCCTCCTTACCTGACTGCGCTTAAAATCGCGCTCATCGCGTAGGCCTGCATCTTCATCTTCCGCGTCTTCCAGTTCGCTGATCTTCGCATCAACCGAAGTCCGGTTCACGTGCGACTTTGTGCGTGAGCGCATAGGATACACTCCGCCCACGGACTGCGACGACCGAACCGGATGCAGGTCTGCATTTGCAAAGTGTATTGAGGTATCCATACCAGACTGTCGGTGTTGTACGCAAAAACAGTAACGCACTCTCGCAGGACTTATACAATCCCGTTATCTTGCCGCGACTGTGGCCGAGTGACAATCTCATCTGGTAACAAGCTCTACCGCTGACGCAAAACTTTGGTTGGCTCTTAGCCTGGTGCTTATCGTGAGAACGGAATGCCCACGTGTAGTTAGCTGCTTCATTGTTTAGGCAGGATGGCGCAGCACTGCGGGATTTTCTTGAGCGTCGGCGCGCGGGGATGTGACTTGCAGCGCTTGCTTTTCGGCGCCGCAAAGCCCTTGATGCAATGTCGCGGGCTCGTAAATCGCGCATCCCGTGAATAGTTGCCAGGAGTACTGGCTAAAAGCAGGCTTTGGTCCTCAGCTCGTTGTGGAAGCACGCCATACATAGGTACTCGAAAGGTGTAGTTGCGTCACAATGGTGACGAGCGATCATCCACCGCCGTCATCAGAGGTTGAGGTTCGCATCGTGCAGGCTTCATGCACGAGGACCAGCTGAAGTTTGGCGGGGTGTGGGATGTCTTTGTGTATCGGGCAACTGCACCCTGAGAGATTATCGCAGCTAAGATCGTCGCGAACCAATCAGCGAAGATCACTAATGCTTGAGCGGCACTGAGCGGGTCACCCCGCTGAAGCTTGGTCCGACCTTCACACCTCGCAGCCCGTGGGGTCTCGACCACGCGTCCATCACTCATCGACAGACAATCAGGTACAAGCTCTACCATGACACTTGGTAGTGCTACTTAGCGAGTGGCCAGCCCGGCTCGTATACACGAAATTTCTGCATCAGGATCCGAAAACCATAACCTAGCCGTAGCAGAGTATGTTCAGCTAACGGCGCTGTCGGTCTAGCAAAGCGTACCTGCATCTAGAGGCCGGTTAAGTCGTTGTCACGGTGTGTCATCTTCCAATTCGCGTTGTCGCAACAGCCGCCGTATACTTTAACCCCTTTCCAAACTATGGATTTCTAGTTTCTTCTTACTGAATACAAAGTGGAAATCGAGAGCCGCCCGGAACGCGACGGCTCCCTCAACTCAGATTGCGTAAACTCAGCAAAAAGATGAGCTGCTCTATGATAGCCTTGACGTGCTAGTCCACGTGATCGGCGCGTACGAAGTTTTTTTCGCAGGTATAAAACCTCCTTTAGCACTCTCCATCTTTCCACCTCATTCTTCTAAAGCCAGAGAATTTCCAAAACCTATGGACATCAAGACCATGTTTCAAAAACGAATCTGGATTGAGTCATGTGTTTTGCCTCGCCAGCCCTGTCCATCTTACTTTCAAAAACCTCAATGTACCACCCTCTGTCTGCTGCACTTCTCCACTGCTATTTCTACCAAACTCGTGCCAGCAACTCCAAAAGTCCACTTCCGCAACTACATAGCGTTCTCTTCCCCCAAAACAAACAAGTGAACCTCGACATAGCGAAGCAGACTCCAAACGACTAGAAGTTCATGAAGCAAAAGCGCCGTCTCGGTTGCTATGTCTGAGTCTTTGCGCATCTCGGTACATTCAAAACGTAATTGAAGATATCGATGGATTTGTCGGCAGAAACGGCTGATCAACACTTGCATGTCCGCGTCTGAAAACAAAACAACGCACCCACAATGTCATGGGCGTTCGAGCTTCCGCTATCTACCCAAAGCACTATGATGACATGTCATGTCCTTGCTCTTCTCGTCTCCAACATATATAAACTTCTCTCTTCGATCAGTTCTGAACTCTCATCTTCACTCCTCAATTTCTTCCGCACATTCCAAAACTGGAAGGGATCGTATCTGTGATACAAAACAAAAGACTATCAAAACTTACAACGCCGAGCGCGTGTGAACCGAAATAACTCCCACGTTTTTTGCGTATCTTTTGCGCTCATCCTTTCCCACCTACTTCCTTCACTTGATCATCAAAATCATGTTGCAAGCTTCGCATGTGAGAATCTTCGTTCTCAAAATTAGAACAAAGTTGAAGGATGGAGTCTTCATGAAGTCTTTCCTTCCTCTGGGTGAAACACGCGAAATTCGTTGAGAGCATTCTTATGCACGAATTCCAGTTGAAAGTCACCAGCTGGACTATGTATGAGCCAGCGGAGATTTCTTAAAAATCTGGTTTCGAAGATCTGATGTGGTCTGCTTTTCGGTTTTGCGACAATCATTGGACTAGCTATATACCCATGCTTCTATTCTTCGACGGTACTCCTGTTTCCAAAAGTGATTTCGCTCTTCGAAAAGGCCTCCGATACACTGCATGAGTTTGCGAACAAGATCGGAGGAATAAGTGACTGTACGACACGTATCTTTCGATGGTGATGATGATGATCATCACTAACGCATACATCCTCATAAAACCAACACATAGTATACGAATCCATTGTTCTAGTATGTGTATATAACAAAAAACTCTATATGACAAAGCACCGCGGCAGCAAAGCCATAACCGACTCCCCAACTCCGCATCATCACCGGGTATACCACGCTCAATTCATACAAGCACTGAACATAACGCTTCATCCCAGCATCCTCTTCCACGCATGCTCTATGCGCTATGCATACACTGAGGACATCCACTTCCGAATCATGTCCTACAACTCGTCGTGCGCATCCGGCTCAGGCATCTTGATAGGTTCCGTTGGCCTACCGAGCTCAGCATCGATGCTAACGCCCTTCTTGGCGCGGTACTTCTCCCATACGCTCCAGAACTCCTTCTCCATGCTCTTCTCCATTTGGTCAGGGAGTACGACTACGTACTCGACATGCAGGTCACCGTATTGTAGACCCTCGTGAGTTTCGAGGTGCTGGGCCCATACTGGCATACCCTCTTCTTTGACGATTTCAACGAGGTTAGGCTGAACGACTTCGCCACGTTTGCGGGAGAGCTGAACAATGTGGCCGTCCAGGTGGGTGATGTTGCGTGTCCACCCGCCCATCCATGCCTCGCGGAGAGAAAGAACTTCGCGCCAGAAGAGATCTTTGCCCCGTCTCCTGAAGAAGGTTCCATCTGTGCGCTCGTGGTTCTGTTCTCCCATAGCAGGTTCGGCCTCGACAAGGTGTACAATGAGGTCGCCAGCGACGTAATCGGGGCTTTCGTCTGCTTCGTTCTCGTAGGTGATGCGTACGCCCTTTGGCATGCCCTTCTCAATCTCGAGATCGTGTGATTCGGCTTCGCGGATAACTCTACTACCGTGGCAGACGGGGCAGGGCTTCTTGATCGTCTTTCCTTTGCCGTGACATTGGTCGCAATGTACCTGCACTTGCTGGAACAGGCCGGGGGCGAGTTGTTGTCGTTGTATCCTGATTCCGCGTCCACCGCATGTACCGCAAGTCTCCACGTGTCCATCTTCCGAGCCTGAACCCTCGCAGGCCGAGCAAATCGCTTGCTTCTCGATTGTAAACTCCGTCTTTCGGCCGTTGTAGAAGTCGCGCAGGGGCAGTGCGACCCGTACTTCCATGTTCGGTCCTCGTCGTTCTCCGCCCTGGTGTCCAAAGTGTCCTGAGCCGCCGAAGAAGCGTGAGAAGAGGTCGAAGGGATCGTGCTGGCGTGGACCACCGCCTTCCTTATGCTGCTTGATGCCATCGTGGCCGTACTGATCGTAGATCTTACGTGTCTCTTTCTTGCTGAGGACCTCGTAGGCTTCAGCTATCTCGACAAACTTCCCACTTGCCTCATCGTCGCCACTGTTGAACGTTAGAGGTGTGAGCTAAAACGGTGGGTTTACGAACGTACGGGTTCTTGTCTGGGTGGTACTTCTTGCTGAGGGTTCGATAGGCTTTCTTGATCTCGCGCTCCGAGGCATCTTTCTTCAGGCCAAGTAGCTACAGTATCATGTTAGCAAGTATACTTCAACTTGCAACTGAGGGGATAGCCTAGACATTTGCAAAGAGCGCTTCCACATACCTTGTAGTAGTCCTCTGCACCAACAACGATCAGCGCCAGGAAGGCGACCAAAAAGAACAGCGCTAACCGTGGGAGCATTTTGTCCTGTGAGTTGCGCCAACAGCAATGTCGGAGTTGCGAAGTTGCGGAAGTGAGTGGACGGAATAAAAGTATCCGAGATAAATGTAGGAGCAAACTTCTACATGAGGTTCGCGTGTGAAACACAGGTACGAACGACCTCGAAAAGAAAAAATAGGGAGAGTGAAAGCGGAAGGGAGGTTTGGAATGTGGATGTTGCGAATGGGACACGATAGCAGTAACGTAGATTATGCGGCCAATCGGAGTTAAGCCTTGGCATTACCGACTTCACTTTTCATGCGAAGCCATTCCCACGCGACGACGGTGAATCGAGGCTGCACCACCCCACACGCCTCCCACACGCGATCGGATAACCTAGAAGGACGCATTGAGTTGCCGTCTCTATATTCGCACCCTCTGGCCGACCTTGGCGTGCGCAGCCCGCGCTAGCAAACCTCCGCAAGACCTCCGCACCCACCGCACACCAACCACGCATCGACTATATACACCCACAACCACCCGCCATGGCGTCAATAGCGACCAAGGCGATAGCCGGAAAATCAATTGTACCACCATGCTTTACAAGTCAGAAAGTTGGCGTCGTGGTTTCGGCAGGCAAGATGTCGAAAGCAGTACGAGTGCGCGTCGCAGAACAAGAGTGGAATAAGAAGTTTAGGAAGGTGTGTTGGTTCGACAATCGCACATCCGCCCATAGCAGTGCTGACGAACAAAACAGCACTTCCCAGCCCCAAAAACATACATAGCCCGCGACCCCAACAACTCCGTCGTCGAAGGAGACATCGTGCGCATAACATCCGGCTACCGCACCTCCAAAGTCATCCACCACGTCGTAACCTCCATCGTCGCGCCCTTTGGCGAGCCCGTAGAAAACCGACCACCAGTCCTCACCCAAGCACAACTCGACGAACAGCGCATCAAAGAGCGGTTATTGAAGGACGTACGGTCAGCAGAGCGGGGCAGGCAAGCGAGTGTCCAAAGACTGGCGCTGGCGCGGAAACAAGGCTTAAGAATACCCACATTGGAGGAAGCTATGCAGGGTATGAGGATACATACCGAGGCGGAAAAGGCACGGGCTGAGGCGCATGGTGGGCAGGCTGGACAGCAGAAGACGGCGAAGGAGAGGAGATTGGAGCAGGGCAAGAAGACGAAGGCGGAGGTTAAGGCGGAGAGTAAAGTCAAGAATGCGAGGAAGCAGACTGCGTGAGGTAGTTAGGAGATGGGAATTGTAAAACATATTGTGTACATTGCAGATGCATCCAGGGACCGCCTGCATGGTGAGTGGTGTCAGCGCATGGCATACGCTCTACAATCTCACTGATGCTCAGTATGACTACAGTGATGACTATACTAGCTAAGCAGCTCGCAAGTTTATCTTACAGCATTTTGTCCTCCTCCATGGGTATATAACGGGACATCTTCTGTTTCCTAGCTCAGCCCAACACCGAATGAACGCTCAACCTAAGAATCCAGCTGCTACAGCCAGGAAAGCTACCATCCATCCTCCCAGTGTCAAAGATGGTCTATCCAGACTCGCCGCACCTAACATCAGTCAGTCAGTTAAAAGTTGCACAAACATCTCATCATCCCTCAAGCCTTAACGTACCTTCACCATCCCCCGTCGCCGCCGCACTCCCCACCGCCGTTCTACTCTGTGCCGCCTCAACAGCCCTCGTCCCATTCGGGCCCTGCACATCCTCCACCTCCTCACTCTTCAACCCATAGCACGCCTGCGCATCGTTAAACTTCTTATCTGTCTTCGCCTCGGGGTAAATCTCCTCGACGCAGTCCCTCCAGCTATTCCTCTGCTCCCCCGTAACTTCGCAGTAAAGCATACAGTCCTGCCACATTTTCACTTCGGCGCCTTCTTTGCAGCACGAGGCGAGGTACGGGATCGTTTCATTGCCGCTGGAGGGGTCGAGCGCGTAGGTGCACCATTGCCCGGAAACGTCGCTGAAGTACATGTTTCTGGCTACGTGGGGTTGGCAGGTTAATGGCGTGGGGTAGGGGGTGCCCGAGATTATGGCGACTGTGCCGGAGGGGGCGAGGGAAGTCGGTGTGGGTGTTGGTGTGAGGGAAGACATGGTTGTGGGTTGGTAGTGCGGGTGACGATGTGATGTTGTGTTCTAAAAGAATAGATGTTTTCGTGGATCCGAAGTCGTCGCGAGATATGTAATATTTCGTCTTTAATAAAATCGTACCTAAGTTACTTTTCACTTTCCCTTATACTCATCCCATGCACCGGCAACAGCGGCACTGCACCCACTTTTTTCTTCAATCCGCTTCTATACCTAGGTGCCTAAGCAATGCCATCCCGAGACCCTCATCTAACATATATACCAACCATGCCACCAGAAGACTTTTTCCCCACTTCACCAACGCCTGGGCCCCTATTGACTTTCAAGCTTCCTCGCGTAGTTGTATTCGTACGAAGAGCCTCATCGCGTGTAACCCGTTCTAGCCTGGCGCCCGATACGCCAAGAAGTTCTAGCAGGGGACTAGGACAAAAGAGGGAAGATTCAGGGAAGTAAGGCGTGCCAATTTAGGCATACGGGAGATTTTCTGGACGGCTAACGGGAAGGAACACGAAGTTTGACAGGCTGTGGCTGTGTTATGAGGCACTGCATTTTGTAGATTGGTGAAATAATGAACACCTGCATCCATCCATGGATAGATGTCTTCTAGGTATAACCATCCTCCCCACCCCCTCACACAAACGGCAAAACAACATGACTACCATACTCCCCACCCACATGCACACAATGCGTCCCCTTATTCCTCTCCTCAAGCTCCACCTTCTTCCTAGGACCAAACTCCTGCACAAGCGGATACTCACCACTAACCTGCACACTAATCCCCTCTCCAGCCTCGAAATCAACACCCATAGCCCACAAGCCAATTTCCAGCTTCACCACCTCGCCCGGCGTGATCTTCTGCACCTCGTCGTGCGTATGGAAGGGATACTGTGGATGTATCGACTGTGAGGGATCGGTTTTACGGTGGGAGGCGCGGAGGACACCGGTGGGGCCGTAGTAGATCATTAGGTTTGAGTAGTCGGATTCTGGGATCTCTGCCGCAGATTTGTAAGGCGCGGCGGACCAGGGGATGTTGATTGCGATCATGGGTTTACCGTTTTTGTCGAGTTTGCGGATGAGGACGTAGACGATCATGTCGTTGAAGTCTGGGCAGGACATGTAGAGGACGGCTTTGGGGAGGCCCATTAGGCGGGTTTGTTTGTCGAATGTGTAGGTGAAGGCTGCGTGGGAGACGGGGCTGGTGTTGCTTTCGGAGTTGTAGGTTAGGGTGGTGGGTGTGCTTGGTGCGGTTGCTGAGAGCGTGTTATCCGAGGAGAGGTAAAGGGTGCGGTAGTCTGTTCGTGGAATGGGGAAATCTTCCTCGACGATGGGGTAGATGGCTTCTTTGTCGCCGTAGTTGAGCGACGACATGCGTACGCGTGGTGTGGACTCCCAATCGTTCTTTTCGCCCTTGAGATATCGATCGAAGAAGGAGGCGAGCTCGTCGATGGATTCTTGCACGGCCCATAGATCGTACCATTCTTGATACGGGTCCCATCTTAACCACTTATCTTTGGTATCAACCTGCATCCAGCCGCGTATTGAGCCCATGGTGTGCACAAAACTGGAGTAGGATGCGACGATGTATGTTGGGATCTTTATGCTGGCGATGTCGGCGCGTTTGTCGGCCCAGTATGGGTTCATAGTTGAGGAGCGGCGGTACATCTCTTTGAAATCTTCGAGTCCGTTTTTACCTCTGATTACGTGCTCGGTGATGAAGTCGAAGAGGCCGTTGTCCCAGGCTCCGCCGCGCACGAATTGCTCGCGGTAGAGATCACCACAGGCTTCCCAGGGTGCGATGGCTTTGAGAGAGGGAGGTTGTGTAGCGGCGATGAACCATTGTACGATGCCGAGATGTGAGTTGCCTGCCAGTCCAATCGAGCCGTTGCACCTGTATCATCGTTAGATTAAAGTTATCCGGAAGACTGGTGCAAATCTTACCAGTCCATCTTTGCGAGCTCTTCGATCACGTCGTGCCCATCCTCGCCTTCTTGCTTTCCCATAATGACAATGTCTCCATCTGAGTCTCCCGCACCTCTTGCATCTACGTTGACAACCGCATACCCACGAGGGACGTATTCTGCTGGATCTGGTCCTTCGAAGCGCTCAAGACCGCTGAGGCAGCCTTTTGGCACACCGCAACCCCATTTCACCTGTATCATGTTAGTCTTTGTTCATACCCAGCAATTGTTCTGTATGGTAAACACGAACCTTTGACATCATGTCAATGCCCGTGTGTTTCTTGCCGAAAGGACTCCAGGCCACAATCGCAGGCACTTTCTCGCTCCCATCGCTACCGACTGGCCGGTAGATATCGCAGTACAGCGTACATCCATCTCTGACTTTGACAGCGACATCGTGCTCAGCGATCATGTCTTCAGAAAGTGCGCGAGCGCCATCTCGACTTTGGAATCCCTTGCGAAGTGTCTCTTTGCGCGGATTGAAGCCTTGGTAACCATTCTCACCCACCTTGGGCGGCTTGACAGCAAGATTGGCGACCTGAAAAGCAAGAGGCATGATTGCGGTATGAAAAGAACGGACAAAGAAGTTGTTGCGAGTGACGTGCAGCAACATGAGAATGAGGAGACCGCATCGTGGTTTTGAAAAGAGCGTATGGTCGCTGGTGGACTCCGTGGGAACCGCCCCGACCGATCTCGGCCGCGACACTTCTACCTAGTGACCTGCCTTTTGAATTCTTTCTACGGCTTTCGAGGTGTAGCGTCGGCATGTGGAGTGTTTCGAGATGCACACGCACGCTAAGGCTCGCCCGATCTCGACCGTGATGCAGCGAGCCGCAGGGTCTCGCCCCACAACGAAGCTTGTCTGTCCCCGCAGCGAGCGGCCGTGGACGGGCGAGCCGGGGTAATGTGACCGAGAGGATCGTAGAGGGGTGTGAAGTATATCAGTGGAGGACTGTCTGGTGCCAGCAACTCCGAAGTCATTACTACATTTCCAATTCATCAACTCGTTGCATTGCAAGTATGGCACCCTTCCTTGACGACAACGAGAACACGAGCACTGCTCAGCAGAAGTACGGCGACTGGCGGGATGACTTCTATGAGAAGGGCTATGTCGTCCTCAAGGGCGTTGTGCCCAAGGAGCGTGCTCTGAAGTACCGCAACAAGATGATGGACTGGCTCGGTACCTTTCCCAACGACTTTGACATCAACAAGCCAGAGACATGGACCAAAGAGAATCTGCCCCAAAGCTTCAAGAACGGGATGTACCTCAACTACTGCGCTGCACACGAGAAGTATGTCTGGGAGGCCCGACAGTAAGTACCCCCCTTCACCAACGACGCGTCGATGATGGAAGCTGACACTCTTGCGAATAGGGAACCAGGTGTTCTAGCTGCGTTCGAGAAGCTCTGGGACACAAACGAGCTTATTGTGTCATACGATACCATCAACCTCACACTGCCGAATGCTGGCAAGATGGCTGGCAGCAAGCCATGGCCACACGTGGACCAGGCACCCGAGCGACAAGGCCTGTCGTGCGTCCAGGGTATCATCAACCGTATGTCAAGACTCCTTCCTCCGAACCATCCCAAAGTTCCTTTCTAACACTTTCAGTCTCCGAGGCCGGTCCCAAAGACGGCGGACTCGTCGTAATGGAGGGCAGCGCCAAGCTCTTCGACAAGTTCTTCAAGCAACACCCCCCGGACCGAACCAAGGGCCCCCTCGCCGCCCTCCACTACGACTTCTACCCCTTCCAAGACTCCGACGTGAAGTGGTACGAGGACCAAGGCTGCAAGATGGTCAAAGTCTGCGCCGAGCCCGGCGATCTCATCCTGTGGGATTCGCGACAGATGCACTACGCTGTGTACCCCGAGACAGACAACATCCGCACAATCATCTACGCATGCTACACACCGGCGGCCATGGCGTCCAAGGAGGATCTGGCGAAGAAGAAGGAGATCTTCGAGAAGTGGGAGGCGACGACACATTGGCCACATATCAATATCCACTCGCAAGGGAAGGCCAAGGTGGATGGAGAAATTGATCCGTGGGAAAGGACAGAGCCGCTCGAGAAGCCGGAGTTGACTGACAAGCTGCTCAAGCTGGCGGGTGTGAAGCCGTACTGAGGAGGGTATACTGTATGGCTTTGGTAGAGGCGAGTTTGTATAGCGTTGTATAGCAATCATTCACATTTGAGCAAACACCTCGTCCCAGTCGTCAAAACCGTATGTTGCGTTCAGTGTGTTGCCGATCCCATCAAACATGTCGATGTTCTCGTAGTTACCGTGGTGGGCGAAACCATCCATCGGAGGAGCCGAGTTGGATAAGTCGTTGGTGTGGCTGTGATCGGCCATCGACAGCTGCTGCAGTAATTCATGTATCGTACGTGGCGCCCCGGGAAGCTCAGTGTCGTGCCGTTCCAGCACAGGCAGCAGACCCTCAAGGACTGCCGAGCCCTTCGCAGCATGGACAGCAACGGCAGAGTGCTTCCGCAGCTCAGTGAATGCCATTCTGAGGAGGTTGATGATTCGAAGCTTAGCGTCACCTCGATAATCATGCGGGTTTGCAAGCATGTCTAAAGACACGTATATAGCAGCTGCGACTGTTGACGCAGATATAACCCACACTAGTCTGTACACTCTTGGAGCGGGCTTAGCGTAGTAGTTCAGAATGTTGTTGGCCGATTGAAGAGCAAGCTGCCTGGAGTTCGTCGGGTCGTCATCCGGATTCTTCGGCAGCAACACACGAGCGATAGTCAGCAATATGAAGTCAAGAACGAAGTGGATTTGGTAGCGCTGAAATGGTATCCAGGGGTACTCCATCTCCCATATCCGATCGTCTTCATTGGCTGGGAAGTTTGGCGACAGATGCAGAGGCAGGTCTCGCCGGACAGTCTGCACCTGCTCAATGGCTTTGATGAACTTCAAATTCGTCTGGTGCGTGTTGGCTTTGATGTAGAGATAGACTATGTAAGAGACGCGGCACATAATTGAATGGTAATGAGCCGGTGAAGGAGTAGCCAGATTTCCAGACTCGAAAGAAGCAGGACTA